CACTGTCAAAGTTCAAACATTTCAACAAATTATTCTTCATATTGATGATTCAATTACTGAAAGTAAATGCTGCAGCCATCTGACAAAACTCACTGAAGACTGAAAAAAACAATGCCTTGATCCAGTGTCACATTTCATATTACAAAAAGAGCTTTCGACTTGCTGTCCAAGACAAATGCAGAGTCTGTTTGAGTACCTTACCTATCTTAATGTTTTCTTTCATCGTTCTGATTTTGAACTCCCACACCAAATATCAAGTCAAGAGTTGAAAGAAATCATACCCAAAAGAAGCAAGTGGGGAAAATCTGCTCCAAGAACACCACAAAAATGTGGCTGTGCTTACAGGCAATATCTATGTAGTATAAGTTTGATCCGCACTACAACATACTACCCTAAAATTCAACATACTACCCTATAATTCAGTTCACTTATTTTGAATCTGCAATGCTGTTTGTGAGTACTTATTTTACACATTTTTCTTCTTTGAGTTGTCAAACAGCTATGACTTCCCGGATATAATGTGCAGAAAGGACTATTAAGGTTTTCAGAGCAGGACAGAGAACTTCCTCCTCCCTATGGCACTGTCATGACTCACTTACTGGGATTTCCTCATTCTCCTAACATTTAATAGCATATCTGGATGGGGTGGGGGTTGCGCCAGTACAGAATTTCTTGGGAGTGGAAAAAAAGCTATTACCCAGCAATGAAACCCAGTTTGTCCAATTGGTTTCCAGGCTGCTCCAGGTGGGAGGGTTGCTGTCCAGAAAACAGACTGGACCTTTTAAGGTAACCACTGCAAGTTGTTGTACTGGTACACTGATCCCAATGGGTGCGAAAGGCCAGGATAAAAAAAGTCACCTGTATTAGGATTCAGTCCCTCCCACCCACCTTGCCACAGCCTTCTGGAAGGGAAAGGTGCTACCTTGCTTCACTCAAGTCACATCAGAGGGCATAGTTTAAGAGCAGCTCTCCATAGTATTAAGATACAGATCTTTCCTAGTCCTAAAATTGTTTCAATAATGATGCCAGACACCGAATCTGGTACTCTGTGGGTGCAAAGCAAATGCTCTACTGCTACTATAGCATAGTGACCAGCACTAATGGATTAAGAAATACAAGAACACACAACCATAATATTACTGTAATGTTTGGCCATGATTAGAATTCTTAAGACAGAGTTTACATGTTTCCTAAAACTAGCAGTTTGCTTGTCAGCTTAAATAAATCCCAACTGCTGTCAAAACCCAACTGTAGCAAAGTGCAGTGTTTAGTGTCAACAACTCAGTAAAATGTTCATTACAGAGAAGGCTACATAAAATATACATATAATTCATAGCACTCTCCTGATCATTGCCAAGTCACTTCACCCCATTCTTATTTTTAAAAAATGCTTCTACTTAACCAATTTTTACTATTGGGCCTTTGGGTTTGTTACAGCAATGTTACCCTCTTCATTTTCCCTGTGGCCATTTTATCTGCTATGTGCTTTTCCAACAATGTAGAATTGAGCAGTCTTGCCCTTGCACTTCACTAAATTATACTGCTTCTGTAAAACGAATGGTTCTACTGAGGAAAATTCAGCACATTAATGTAAAATGAAGATAAACAAATTTAACATTCTACATTTATTCTGCACACTTTCTGAAGTCCATGAAAGGAGCTTCTGCTTTAGTATTGACACACAAAAGGAAACAAAATTTCCAAGAAAAAATAAACAAATAAGCACATTCTTCACATTATCAACCATGTTTGTATATATGACAACAGGAAAGTGACTAAAAATGTAATAATCAGGTACTGGCCCCAGTTTAATAGCTCCAGAACATATGTGAAGGGTTGTCCCCATCACAGAGACAAATGGAAAGTTTCTTTATATACCTTTCCCTGACAAAGAATGACTGCAACTAAGGACTTCTTTGGTTGTGATCCATACTTGAACTCACAAAAGCCGAACTGATCTCCAGGGAATCTCCATCAACAAAGGCAGATTTGTAAGATAACAAATTTCATTGTTTTGTATAAACATTATTCCATTCAAAACAGATTTCTTTTAAAGCCCTTTCATTATTATGGTAATTTTAAAACAAAACGAACAGAAAACCTCCAGCTTCTTCAATGTTCAGAAGGTGTATAGCTGACATTAAGGACTCATATTTACAAGGATCTGAGCAAAACTAACCACCTTCTGTGTCCGCCTCTGGACATAGAAACGTTGCACGAGGGCTGGGAGCGAGCTCCATAGTATGTTGAGCACACCACATTTCAGACATATTGCGCATATACAACACAGCTCCACAATATCCCATGACAGACATTTCCCCTTTTTGGCTAAAAGTGTCAAAGTGTTGCTTGCTAAAGAGTCTTTTGCATTAAAAAACAAACAAACAAACAAAACTCAAAGTACCAAAATAAATAAGTACGTAAGCAAGAAGAACACTAGCTTTCTAACTTTCTACGGTGGTAGAGCATAGTTCAGTAGTCATCCAAGACAAATGTACCCAAAGAGAACTAAGGCTACCAACTGATACAAAGGATTTAAAATCAATTCAACATCACCATCTTAATGTTTATATGATGACCAATTTTAATTACCCAATTACAATTGAAAGTGCACACAATCAACAACATTCAATAAAGGTACTCTAAAGAAAGAGGTCAGCATCTCTTGAAGATGGTCACTTATGATTATGAAATCTTAAGTTACCACACTGCAAGGGGGGGAGGGACACCCGCCATCTTTAACCAGCACATCTGTGCAAGCCTCTCTGCATGGCAAGTAGGCCACTTAGAAGTCCTGAGGCCCAACGTCTTTGCCTGTCATCCACCCCAACAATGATCTTTTTCGGAGGGGTGAGAGAAGGGGCCGAATCAAACCCGCTAGCTGTTCAATCGCCCTGATTGATTGATCAAAGCTTTGCAGTCCTAAGGAGCCTGGAAGCTGAAATGTACACACAGCAACAGCCCAAGCACATCGCCCCTCCAAACCATGCCCCTTGCTTTGTGAAACTGGGTTCTTATGCTGCGAGAGACAACTTGGCTTGCAAATGTCACCTTCAGCATATTCTCTCTTTTTAGGGGGTGAGGAGTGACACATGTACCCAGAGGCCTTTCACCTGCGCGGATGCCCAACACCTTGCGTGGCTTTTGTCCTGGTTGCTTGGGACAGTAATAATAATAATATGAATAATCATGATTTAATAATATTTTTTATTATTTGTACCCATCTGACTGACTGGGTTGCCCCCAACCACTCTGGGTGGCTTACAGCAGGGGAGGAGGGAGGCGGAACACCCTGGGTGTAGAGGTCGGGGTGGTGGGGAAAAGAAGGGGGGCCAAAAGGGGCCGATCTCTCCCCACCCCCATCTTCCCCAGCTGACACATAACGGGCAGCGGCGAAAGGCGGCTTTCCGAGGATCCCTTTGCGAATGAAAGAGCAGGAGAGAAAGAAACCTGGCCTGGAAGTGCGAGGCCGGCCGGCCGGCCCGCCCCCTCCTCCTCCCCCCACCCTCGCTCCCCACTGCGGGGACGGAAGAAAAGGAAGGAGGGAGAGGAGGATGCGCAGGCGAAACCCGAGGCCTACAAAGACCAGCTCCCACCGCGCCGGCGCCTCCCGTTCCTTCTCTTTTCTCTCTCTCTCCCGGTTCCCACCTCGCCACCCCTCCCTCCCCCCCCCGCCCGGTTGTGGCGTCGCCTCTCCTCGCGAGGCCTCGCCCGCGTCTGTGGGGCCTGAGGGAAGAAGGCGGCAGAAAAGGCGGTCGGTTTCGGCCCCCTCATACTCACCATCAACTCGATGGTCTTGTCCTCGATCACCGACTCCGGCTCCATGGCGGCGGCGGCGGCGGCGGCGGGAATGGCGGCGGCAGCGGCTCCTCCTCGGCGGCGGCTGAGGAGAGAAAAGCCCGTATCGACCCCCCCACCACCACCTTTTCCTTTTCCCTCAGAGGAGGCCGGCTGCCGATAGATCGACCGACTGACCCGCCGCCGCCTCCTCGGCCGCGCGCCCGGAAGAGGAAGTGACGCAGCAGGCCGACGCGGCGCGCGGGCGGGCGAACGTTAGCAACGGCGGCGACCGTTTCCCCCTCAGCAGCCGCGTCGGAACCGCCGTCGCGACCACGGGGGGGGGGGAGGAGGAGGAGGAGAGGCACTACGGTTCCCGACAGGCTTTGCGCCGGCCGGCGGGAAAAAGAACCACAAGGCCCGGCATGCATAGCGCCGAGGTGGGGAGTGCTTAGCGCTCCTCGCGGCGGAGGGGCTAAAGGGACTACGTTTCCCGGCATGCAAAGCGGTGGCGAGGAGGCTTCCCCCTCCCCCCAACGGCGGATTATTTTAATTTTTTTTTAAGAAGTCGCTCGAAGGTGCTGCGGCTTTGCTTCTTCCCAGCTGCCCGGGGCGAGGCCCTTTTTGGGGGTCCCGGTTGCTGCCGGCGACGGGGGGGGGGGGGCGGGAAGCAAGCCTAGGCCGCAGGCGCCGGGAACGCATGCGCAGTGGAGCTGCCTCATGGCGCCTCAGGCCGCTGTTTCCTCACAAAAGGCTCCGTCGTGGGCGCCTTTACCTCAGGCGTGAGGGCGCCGAGGGCCCCACGCTCGTGTATGGCAGCGCTAGAGGGTGGGGGCAGCTATTCCCTTTAATATTATTGTTATTATTGTTTATTACATTGGTGTACCGCCCACCTTCCGTAATTTACCGGTTCTCAGTGTAGGTTTATCGGTTCACTTCCTTTATATTCGTCCTCACAGGACTATTTGCAGCATAAGCCTGTGGGGATAGTTATTCTCCCATGAAAATGGGGACATCCTATTCCATAATAATACGAATAATTGTGTTATTTATACCCCACCCATTCCACTGGGTTGCCCCACTCTGGGCAGCTTCCAGCATATATAAAACATAACATATTTTTAATGCTTTATTATGTTTTTTTATATATGTTGTGGTACAGGTATTCTCCCACAAAAATAGGGGTGTCTATTCCATCATCATAATTTTATTACTTATACCCTGCCCATCTGACTAGGTTGCCACAGCCACTCTGGGTAGCTTCCAACACATAAAAAACAGAATCAAACATTCAACATTTTTTAAAAAATTCCTTATGCAGGGCTGCCATCAAACATCTTCTAATATAGTCCCTTATCTCCTTGACTCAAGGGTCGCAAAACTGCATACCCTCTGATGCAGCAGAAGAATCTTTTACTTGCATCTGCCACTAGCTATAGCAATAAAATAAAATAAAATACTGGAGATAGAGGTAAAAACTATAGAAAAAATATTTTTGGGGTTTACATCAATAATAAAATAATAGCTCTTATTCTAATTGCCCCCAGTTTGCAGTTTTTGCTGTCACCTGATCATCTTGATCTACTAAAAGAAAGGACACAATAGCAATGGTTGGGCAACCCGTCGTGGACAATAGAGAGGTAATAATCTCCTCAAATCTATAAAGTGCAAGCCAGAAGCACATGAGCCACTGACTCAGTACTGCCATCTCCACATGGACGTAACCGTTTTTCCAGTGGAATTTTTTGAAATCAACCCTCAAATACAGCCTCAATCTTGCGAAATGAAAGCGCATCTGTATTTTGCAAACAGGGTGCCAAAGTGTCAGAATGACCAGGTGGAAAATAATCATGCCATGGACAAAATTTCCTTATTGTGGCCAGATTATTTTGTTGCTCGATATCATATAATTAAATTATTTGCTTTACCCTCCAGTGAAAATATGAATGTCCTAAGGGACAGCTTCTGTAAATCCTAAGGGACAGCTTCTGTAAATCCAGAACTGTCCCTGGAAAATAGGGTCACTTGGGAGGGTCTGGAAGTGGCCCAGGGTGGGTTGCTCCACAGCAAGAGTTGGGTATATGCCCTTTAAACATCACCCTCATTAATCAAATTTAAATACTTCAGCGGAAGTTCACAGGGCGGTTTACAGCATAAAAATCTGAAATGAAAATATCCAATACATAACACAATGGCAACGTGAAACAACAGCGATTCCAATCCTGTTTTATAGGCCCCAAAAGAACAAGAAGAGCTCCAGTGGATCAGGCCACATTCCAGCATCATGTTCTCAAGAGCAGCCAGCCAGAGTTTCTCTGCATAGTTTACCAAAAAATCTTAAAAGAAAAAGATGTCACAACTGAAATTGGCACAGCGATCCCTAGGCAGCGTTTTCCTAACCTTGTTCTTGCCTGGAGTAATGCCAGGCAACAAAAAGAAGGAAGTACATCTACTAAAACACTGGTTTTCAACTGGGGTGGGGGGTGTCCTGATCCAAGATGAGTCACGACCGGACCACTACCAAATGGTAGAAGATTAATAAATGTGTGTCCAAATACATGTTTGGGTTAAAAGCGACTTCTGGGTCTGAAAATATCTGTTCTAAAAAACGGGCTGAAGTGGCAATCAATATAGCACTGAAAATAATTTCTTATACATTTTTTCAGAGCGGTATCTGCAATGAAGCATAATTTGTGTCAACTCATTATTTTCTCAGATTTCATGAACACCCGGTTTTGCCCAGATTTTCTAATGGTGCATTTAGGAGAACTCTGGAATCTGAACCATTCACCAGGCTGGCCCAGTGCACTGTAAACAGTCAACTTGCGTTGACTTTAGTGTGACAAGAAAAATGCTGCGGAAATCTCCATATTGGGAAGAAGAAGAAGAAAAAGTGGCCTAGCCCTCTCCTGGTGAAGGTGGATTTATCAAAAGAAGAAGGAAGTGAACTGGACAGTGTTGTCCTCTAACTTGGAGTGCAAAAGCAGCCCTATCGCCATCAAATGTATGGTAAAAAAAAATAAGAAAAGGGTCTCAATATTTGTGCTATACGTCAGGTCCAGGGTCTGAAAAGGTTGAAGGTGACTGGCGTGAGTCATGCTTCTTAAGGTCTTTGGCAGGAGGAACTTCAGAGATGCCACACCATAAAGGTCTTCCCTTTGCACTATAAGGGAGCAAGGGGAGGAGTCTCACATATTAAGTAGTCTTATGTTACCTGGTCCAATTATGATACACATACACACTTGAAATGAATCAAGAAAAGAGTATTGTCATCTACTACCATACAGGAAACCTGTCCTTCACTTGTGCTTCTGCGTTAATAATATCAAGCTTTGTTGTTGCTGTTTAGTCGTGTCCAACTCTTCATGACCCCATGGACCAGAGCACTCCAGGCACTCTTGTCTTCCACTGAATATCAAACTATAGACTGCTAAAATGTTGATCCACAAGCCGTTCTAGGACATGGATCTGCCCACAAGTGAGAGCCACATCTCACTTGCAAGTTTTTCTCGAAACAGTTACTGAAACTAAAACTACCATGTCTGACTCATCCTTAGTTTGCAAAAACAACAGAACCACCTTACAGGGAGACAGTTCCCAGCATCATCGGTCCATAACAGAGCTGGAATTTAAACCTGGGTAGCCACATTTCCCATATCTGCTTCTCCCATCACCCTTCCTGTATCCTAAGATCTGATGGAAGGCATTTGTTTGTCTCTGCACAAACTCTGGCCCAGTTTGCATGTCGATCTGTGCCAACCCATATCTCCCAAAGAGGCAATTGAGGTTCCTTTGCTCCTCCCCAGATCATTTTGCTGCTGCGCAGTATTGAGCTAAGCTATGGTTTGGCTTAGTGTGTCATTCAAACCCAGACTCGTGCTTAGCTCTCCTAGACAACTCCCAGATTGTAAACCGGGTCAGCAACCTAAGGCCCATGGGCCACAAGCGGCCCATGGGGGTCGTTTAACCAGCCCATGGACCCCCACCGCCCACTTGGACGGCTCCCGTGTGCCGCACTAAACCGGCACGGAGCAGAGCGGGAACCGCCTTCAATGATGCTAGCCAGCTTCCCATTGGCTGCAGGAAGCTCCAGAAATTGTGTGTGTGTGTGTGTGTGTGTGTATGCATGCCCACTCTGGCCCACCGTGGCGTCTGCAGGACCGTGAACCGGCCCAAGCCACAAAAACTTTGCCGAACCCTGCCAGTGTAAGCCATAGGACAAGCCTTGGTTACAGCTTGTGATTTGTGCTGCCGAGAGAGCTAAACCATGAGCCCAACATTCAGATGACACTCTTAAGCAAAACCATGTCTTGGTTCAGTACAGAACAGAAGCAGAATGAGCTGGGAAGAGCAAAGCAGCCTACCAGTGCTATTTTTCTAGAAAAACCAAACCCACCATGAACACCTCCCTTTTTCTCTTAGAATGGCAATGGCACACACCTGAGAGGTGCCGGAACCGTGTTCCGCTGAGTTCCGGCTGAACAAAAGCCCCGCTCCTAACTTTTAGGCCCTGTTCACATGATTCTTTTCCAGACACTGTGATTAATATGGTTATAGCTTGTTCATCGTTTATATATAGAATATTTGTGTTTCAGGGCATTTGCACACAATAAGGAGAAAATTGCATTATGGATGGAGTTTGTTGCTATTTTAAGACAGAATCACATGACTGAGTAAAGTCAGTTCTCCCTTCAGTTTCAAAAGAATGTGCTTTTTCCAAAGGAGAAAGCAACAACCCATCGAGGCAACAAAGAGTAACAGTAAGTTTGCTTTTAAAAAAGAACCTTTTTCCATACCTACTCTGGCAATTGAAATTACTATGGACCGTTTTGGGTCCATCTTCAATGACTATTTGAAATTATCCACCTGTTTTTAAACTTCACATTTAATCTAAACTAAAACATGTTTAGATATCCACTGCTATTCTTAGTTGCACTAAATCCCTAAAATGTTACATTAATTTTTGTTCCCTGACATGATGAATGGCTGAACTACCCCCAATTTGCCATTATAAGCCTGCAATTGATCCTGTGCACACTTAGGTTGGAGTAAATACCACTTAATTCAATATAGCCTGCTTCTGAGAAGACATGCATAGGATGGCGCTATCGAAAGAGGAGATTAAGCTCCACGTCATAAAAATATTTCATGTTATGAAGGAATTCTAGTTGTACTCTGTGGAATATTATTGTCTACAGAATATTATTCTACAGTTGTAGTATATTATTGTCTAATATACCATGAGCATCACAGCTGCTGCGATCTGATGTATCTGGTTCAGAACAGGGGGAGGGGAGCGCTTTCTATAGAAAAAAATGTAGGTTAGAATTTAATTAACATCCTTTTATGATTTTTGCCAAGTGTAAATGGTTCTTCCTGGTTATTACAATGACTCCTTTGCCCAAATCAATGGCCCATCAAATTCAGAGCCCTTCCTTTGTGTAAGTCTTGGTAGCTAAACCTGCCACCCAGAGTGTTCCTGCTTATTTCTTTGTTAGAGATGTAATCCTATTACCTATGAAGTTCCTGCAGGAAATTACTTCCAGAGGCGTAGCCATGTTAGTCTGTTATAACAGAAAGAAAAGAGAGTCTTGTGCTACCTTAAAGACTAAAAAATTATTATGGTGCCATAAGCTTTCATGGACCAGAGACCCCTTCAGATGCGCCAGACAATAGCTTATGCCACAATAAATTCATTAGTCTTTAAGGTACCACAAGGCTCTTCATTGTTCAAGAAATTACTTTACATCTTAGACGATCAAGTAACGCTGGGGCTCCCTGAGAACTGAGGTCTGGAGTTAGCTAAAAATTATGTCACCCCTCCCTTATTTAATCTTTTTCTTTCTTTCAAGTTTGTCTCATGACTTTGGGCTTTGATCTGTTTTGTAATTTGCTTTTGACTAGTCTAGAATTTCTCTGATCCCAGGTGTCCATTTTGAATTTGTAGGTCAGAGAGTCTGTCTGGGGAGAGCTAATTCTTACTGAATTGTTTGATTTGAATTCTTTTACGAAAGCAACTAAAGGTCTCTGCAGCTTGCCTGGGCACTGACTACCATCAGTGCCCAGGCAAAGTTTTGCTTTGTTTTGTATGCTTTTCTGTTTCCTCAGTGTCTGAATTCTGCACCAATACCTAATTTGTTTAAAAGAGATTCCACTGGTGGTTATAACTTTAGCAACATTAACCTTTACGTTCAGTGATGTTCCATCTGTCAGTATGTTTAAAATATTGTGCGGATAATAATAACTGCAGTGAATTTACACAGCACACTCATCCATCCTATATATCTGTTTTCCATGCTTGGCCAAGGTTTGAATGAAAATGGGGGTTTTCAGCACTGAGCTTGTGGGCAGGGTTGCCAACCAACTCTTCAACATCTCCATGGTAGAGTAGAGAGACCACTTCCCAGTCTCTCAATATGATTGCTGGTGACCTCTTCTGAGCTACCCTCTCCCACAGAGTTGGTAAAGGAATGGGATTCCCCAGGAGAATTCAGACCAGTGGTTTTAAATACCCCTAGCTTAGACCTGGTCTGTGCATGTAGCATAATGAGGTGGTAGAAACTTGAGGGGCCTGTACCATGGATGACACAACCTTGATGGCAGAAAGTAAGGAGGAATTAAAGAACCTTTTAATGAGGGTGGGAGAGGAGAGCGCAAAATATGGTCTGAAGCTCAACATCAAAAAAACGAAGATCAAGGACACTGCGCCCATCACCTCCTGGCAAATAGAAGGGGAAGAAATTGAGGCAGTGAGAGATTTTACTTTCTTGGGCTCCATGATCACTGCAGATGCTGACAGCAGCCGCGAAATTAAAAGACGCCTGCTTCTTGGGAGGAAAGCAATGACAAACCTAGACAGCATCTTAAAAAGCAGAGACATCACCTTGCCAACAAAGGTCCGTATAGTTAAAGCTATGGTTTTCCCAGTAGTGATGTATGGAAGTGAGAGCTGGACCATAAAGAAGACTGATCGCTGAAGAATTGATGCTTTTGAATTCTGGTGCTGGAGGAGACTTGAGAGTCCCATGGACTGCTAGAAGAAAATCAAACCTCTCCATTCTGAAGGAAATCAGGCCTGAGTGCTCACTGGAAGGGCAGATCCTGAAACTGAGGCTCCAATATTTTGGCCACCTCATGAGAAGAGAAGACTCCCTGGAAAAGACCCTGATGCTGGGAAAGATGGAAGACACAAGGAGAAGGGGTGACAGAGGACAAGATGGTTGGACAGTGTTCTTGAAGCTACCAGCATGAGTTTGACTAAACTGCCGGAGGCAGTGGAAGACAGGAGTGCCTGGCGTGCTCTAGTCCATGGGGTCACGAAGAGTCGGACACGACTAAACAAATACTTTCCACCAAAGAGGGGTGTGGGAAAGAACCGTAGCCTGGGATATCAGGGAGAAAGGCTTGAATCCTGCTCAATCTGTCCTGTGCTAATTTGATACTTGTACAGGAATTGAGTGGTTTCCACCAGCACCCCATTGTTTACATAAGGGAACATTCAGAAACCCTCCAGTAGAGACGGGGGAGAAATCAATCCAGTTTGTATTTAAAGGTGAACATACCTAGTTCACATTTTCTGGAAAAGCATGTGAACCGAAACACAGCCAGCCTTTGAAATTTGCACACTTTTGAATTTTGCAATGCAATTGTCCCCCCAACTAATGTGCACAGAAGAGCATATACAGTGGTATCTCAGGTTAAGTACTTAATTCGTTCCAGAGGTCCGTTCTTAACCTGAAACTGTTCTTAACCTGAAGCACCACTTTAGCTAATGGGGCCTCCTGCTTCCGCACTGCTGGAGCACAATTTCTGTTCTCATCCTGAAGCAAAGTTCTTAACCCAAGGTACTATTTCTGGGTTAGCGGAGTCTGTAACCTGAAGCGTCTGTAACCTGAAGCGTCTGTAACCTGAAGCGTATGTAACCTGAGGTACCACTGTACTAAAGTGTGCCTATAAATTATTATTATTATTATTATTATTGACATTTATATACCACTCTTATCTTCCAAGGAGCTGAAGGTGGTCACATGGTTCTTCTCTTCCCCATTTTATCTTCACAACAACCCTGTGAGGTAGGTTAGGCTAAGAGATAGTGACTGGCCCAAGGTCACTCCCAGTGGGCTTCATGGCTGAGTGGGGATTCGAACCCTGAGCTCCCAGGTCCTAGTCCAGCATTCTCACCATTGCGCCACAATGGCTTGTGAAAGTAACATACAGTTGTACCTCGGGTTAAGAACTTAATTCCTTCTGGAGGTCCGTTCTTAACCAGAGGTACCACTTTAGCTAATGGGGTCTCCCACTGCTGTTGCACCACCGGAGCACGATTTCTGTTCTCATCCTGAAGCAAAGTTCTTAATCCGAGGTACTATTTCTGGGTTAGCGGAGTCTGTAACCTGAAGCGTCTGTAACCTGCAGCGTCTGTAACCCGAGGTACTACTGTACTAGTGATACACATTAGGGAAAGCAACATACAAAACATGCTTCATGGACTGATTTGCAAAAGGCAAAACTGCAGACAAAAACGTGTATATTAGTAGGAATTCACACTAAGAGGTTTATGAGGGTGTTTAAAAAAAAATAAATCACAAAGGATTATGGAGAACTGACTTTGGCTGGAAAAATGAGAACCTTGGAGAAACTGAAAACGACAGATTCTCCCATCCCTATCTTCCAGAGCCCTGCAGTTTAAGTGGGACAGTCCGTTCTAACATTTTGCTAATGAAAGCCCATGTCAAGGGCACCAGAAACTTGCTTCCCCTGGTGCTGGGAGTTTCGTAGAGATCTTTTCATCTTGGTTAAGTATCGATGGAATACTCCTGGATGAAAGAGGAAGGGACCCATTGAACAAAGCACACTCACCAGGAAATTCTGACACACAGATTGACAGCAGGGTTGTGGCAGGCGGGCCCCATCCGATCTCGAAAGCTGCAAAGTGCATTGTTAGCGGAGACTTGTTTTCCCAAACGCCCGTCAGCTAACATAGCTGTCGGCTCCTGCTCCCAGCCAGCTAGTCATGATCCTTTATCCGTTCCATCAGTGTGATGTAGGCTGACAGCTTGAACTTGCTCTCTGATGGGCCCTGGCAGCGAGAGAAGCTGTTGGATGGATTGGTGCATTCATAAGCATAGGGAGAGAAGCCGATGGCAATTAAAAGTTCAGGTGCTACAATGAACGGCCAAGGTCACTCGGGAGGAAATGTGATGCCGTCGACATAGCAAGTGCTGATCGCCTCAAGAATTGCCAGAGATGGCTGGCAGATATTGCTCTGAGCTAGCACCCGGGGACAGACGCTTGCAAAGCACTTCTTTTAAATGCAGCAGCTAGACTGATGACTGGGAGCAGCCGGCGGGACCACATAACACCCGTCTTGAAAGACCCACATTGGCTCCCAATACGTTTCCGAGCACAATTCAAAGTGTTGGTGCTGACCTTGAAAGCCCAAACAGCCTCGGCCCAGTATACCTGAAGGAGCGTCTCCACCCCCATCATTCAGCCCGGACATTGAGATCTAGCGCCAAGGGCCTTCTGGGGGTTCCCTCACTGCAAGAAGCCAAGTTACAGGGAACCAGGCAGAGGGCCTTCTCAGTAGTGGCGCCCACCCTGTGGAACACCCTCCCTTCAGATGTGAAGGAAATAAGCAGCTATCTTTAAAAGACATCTGAAGGCAGCCCTGTTTAGGGAAGTTTTTAATATTTAATGCTGTATTGTTTTTAAAACTTGATTGGGAGCTGCACAGAGTGGCTGGGGAAACTCAGCCAGATGGGCGGGGTATAAACAAATTATTATTATTATTATTATTATTATTATTATTATTATAGTTTTTAGTCACCGCTAAAGGATGAGGATCATGGGCCAACCTTAGGGCAAGTCGCTATCAGTCTGGTCTGCCTCACAGAGTTGTTGTAAGGATAAGATGGGAGAAGAATGATGCATCCACCATCTGAAGGCAGCCAGTTAGCTTTAGGGGCACACACAACACACTCACAGCTCTGTCACAACCATTTCCTGTTCCCTCAGTATCACCTGCTTCCTGTCTCTACCTAATAGTAGCCTAGCCTGACCCCAAACTATTCAGGCACTATTTATCCATATCTGGGTAATGAGAAAGAAATGAAAAACCGAGCAAATATTCTGAAATTTGTCTCAGTTTGACCCTTTCAGCCTTCTTTCCAGTAAGTAAGCCAGATGGATCAAAACACATCTTGCTCTTTCCTCTGGGAAATTTGTCTACGATCTCAGAGCTACTTTGTGTCCTTAAAAAAAAACACAGGCTTAGTTGTCAACTTCAGTCTCTTCTATTTTGTGTCATCTATTTTGCCTGAGGAATGTGTCGACTTCAGACAACAACAACACATTTCAGCAGCTAAGTTTTTGGTACAAAAGCAAGCATCGTATAAACCTTTGGAAAACCAGCAGAGCAGTTCTTTGCATATCAACTCACTGAACTCAAAAGGGCTTACTCCCAGAGGATAATAGGATGGTAGCCCAATTTCCTGATTTTGAACCTAAAACAACAGTGTTTGTGATTTTTTTAAGCTTGCATGCGAACTTTGGGTATCACTCAGCTCCAGCCTCTGAAAACTACAATGGGGTGAACTAGCAATGCTCTTTTGGAAACTACCATAGAAATAAAGGACAAGCAGGTGGAACAGTTATAGAAGAGCCCGCCTTGTGGACTTGCATAATGCCCAAAGAACTGCATTGCTATCATTTAACAAAGAGGAAAAAACCATCATGCAGATAATAGAATTGTAAAGTTGGAAGGGACCTAAAGGGTCATCTAGTGCAACGCAGGAATCACTGCTCAAGAACCCCAAAGCTCTTTGCTGGAAAAGTCTGAGCATATAGCCACACAATTGTGGACAATAACCCCACCAGAATTATGGTACACTGCAGATTTAAGGGCTCCAACCAACCAACCGAATTATACCTTCTAGCAGACATACTGTAACATGGTTACAAAGCACAGATCCACATGGATTCTCAGGATTTTTGCATTGGGCTACCCCAAACTCACTGTCAAATCACATGTCTGTGGCCACAGCATGAACCACAAAAATCATACATCCACTGTTTCGTTCAGAATACAGTGGTACCTCTGGTTACGTACTTAATTCGTTCCGGAGGTCCATTCTTAACCTGAAACTGTTCTTAATCTGAGACACCACTTTAGCTAATGGGGCCTCCTCCTGCTGCCGGAGCACGATTTCTGTTCTCATCTTGAAGCAAAGTTCTTAAGCCGAGGTACTATTTCTGGGTTAGCAGAGTCTGTAACCTGAATCATATATAACCCGAGGTACCACTGTATTTTTCCCCTTGTTTTCCTCTAAAAACTAGGTGCGTCTTATAGTCAGGTGCATCTTATGGAGTGAAAAATACAGTAGCATTAAAGAAGTTATTGATCCTTGTATCAGATCTTGGGAGAACCATTTCTTACATGGCTCCTTATTCTGGATTCAGTGGCTAGTGTCAGAAACTGAGAGCAAACCAAACTGATTCAAACACCATCCAAGCCCAACCCGCCGAGTCCTTACCACAGAAAGACCTACCCAGCCTTAGCGCAGCAGCCCAGCCACTTCCTTCAGAAAGCGTTCAGAACCACTGAGCAAGGGGAGACGTTGCCTTCCATCATAAACCCTCCACTATGACATCACCAGACTTGGAGGGGAAGAAGGGAGTCAGATGCGAGTTTTTCTTTCAAATTTTGCCTAGAACGGAAGGGATATTGTTGGAGTGGCACACAAAGGATGAACAAGTGAAATCTGTGGTGATAGATTGGGCAAGAGATGTCGGACATAACATAATGTTTGAAGATTGGGAAAGGTTGTGGAGGAAAGGGGTCAAGTTCACTGCATGTACGGTGTTAAAGGAAAATGTTATGAAAATGATGTATAGATGGTTCTTAACCCCTGTAAAACTAGCAAAGATTTACCATAAGAGTGATAATCTAGGTTGGAAATGCAAAGAAAAAGAAGATACATTCTATCATATGTGGTGGACCTGTCCCAAGGTGAAAGACTTCTGGGAAAAGATTCATAATGAATTGAAAAAGATGTTGAAATATACATTTATTAAGAAACCAGAAGCCTTTCTACTTGGAATAACAGGTTCAGGATTGCCCAAGAAGGATGTTAGATTGTTTTTGTACGCCACAACTGCAGCTAGAATTTTGTTGGCCCAAAACTGGAAATTACAAGAAGTACCAACAGTGGAGGATTGGCAGATGAAGATGATGGACTTTTGGGAGCTAGCCGACCTGACCGGAAGAGTCTGCGACCAGAAGGAGGAGGAATACCAAGAGGAATGGAAGAAATTTAAAGACTATTTAGCTAAATATGTTAAGATAACTTAAATAGAATTACTTTCAAGTATCAGATTGGCCTAGGATTTAAATATGTGATGTTATAGAATAATATGTTTAAAGTTAAAATGAAAAGAAAGAGGTTAATTGACTAAGCAAATTTTAGTTGAAATTAGTTTTGGAAAACTGCTACAATGATATAAACGGAAATTCAGCCAGGGGGATTCGAGGAAGTCACCCAACAATGTTAACAAAAATGGAATTATTACAGTTAGGATTTATGTTTGCTTGTTTTTCTTTTTGATGCTTTCTTTTATATGTTTGTCATAAATTTGGAAAATCAATAAAAAAATTTGAGTGGGGAAAAAATAGAATGGAAGGGATAGGCAAATGGCTGGGTGGTGAACATCAAGTTGTTAACCCGCCTGTAGTTGCTCAGCCCTGCCTTCTCACAGGTTGCCAGGAAAAAAATAATCTCTCACACTGGAAATGACAGACTTATTTATATCTAGTGTGCATGTTTATATGTATGCATGCAGGAGGGGTGCGTGTTAGAGGAGAGGTAGTACCTCTGGACGCGGGTGGTGCTGTGGTCTAAACCACTGAGCCTAGGGCTTGCCGATTGGAAGGTCGGTGGTTCGAATCCCCGTGATGGGGTGAGCTCCCGTTGCTCGGTCCCAGCTCTTGTCAACCTAGCAGTTCGAAAGGATGTCAAAGTGCAAGTAGATAAATAGGTACCGCTCCGGCGGGAAGGTAAACAACGTTTCCGTGCGCTGCTCTGGTCCACCAGAAGCGGTTTAGTCATGCTGGCCACATGACCTGGAAGCTGTACGCAACCCCAGAGTCGTCCACTACTGGACCTAACAGTCAGGGGTCCCTTTACCTTTACTAGTACCTTTGGTGGGGGGCACATCGTGCTCCCCCTGGGGTCCTTTGCACTCAGCTCTCACCTGTGGCTCTTAGAAGCTGTCACAATGCAATAGTAGCCACAGTCCAGGAAACGGCTTTGACTGGAAAGCTAAACCGGGCGAGGGTGGCCGATGGGTCTCAAACCCTTGGTGAGTTGGGGGCTTCCCCGGCTTGCGAAGACAGGCTCTGGTGGATTGAGCACATGAGACCAATTTTGTGGGTCCTATGGTTAAGAAGGCAGTTTTTGTACCCGCTGTAGAGGGAAGTGAGGGATAGATAGGGCTCTGCAACCTGGAAAGGTAGCCCATCTAGGAGAAGGAAAACTCTGATCCTAAACCTCCACTGCTTTGGGGGGGCGGGTATCTTCAGGAGAAGAAAAGGTTAAGGAGCAAACCCTACACAAACTCCAGAGTGGAGTCCCGAAGACAATTGGATGGCAGCCTGTACGCCTCCTGCCAAACAACTCCTGCAGCCAAGTTGGTGCCAAACGTCTTGGTCTGCTTCCCTTTGGACCACATCAGTGAGGCTGAGGGCAGTCTTATCGTCTGGGCAGGCCAGGACCCTCATACACACTGCCCAGGATTGCGCCCTGGGGAGGTCACTTCAGTGCTGCTAAGGCAGCAGTTTGACTTCACCCCCGGAGGCGCACACTACTGTCTCTCGAGACAGATGGATGCCAACAACATGCATGCAGGAACGCTCTTTTTCCATGGCGAAAAACCAGCCTAATGTGGGGGGAGCTGCATTCTTCCTTTGGTGTACACACCTGCATGAACCCTGCCGCAAAATAGCCATTCATTTAACTCTTTCACAACTTGCAGCTAGCAAAACTGGTGGCCTGGACCCAGCCTAGGAGTGACAATATTCAACGCACGCAAAATAAACAGGTTGTTATTGGCAATGATTTTTTTCCCCCCGATCAGCTTTGAAAGGCCAAAAATTTGGCTCCCTTCCCATTCCACCTGGAATTTCTATTCTGTGAAATTCAAAAGCTTGCATGCTCTTCCAATCAGCCTAAACCAGGGATGCCCAAACTTTTTCCAAAGAGGGCCAGATTTGATTTGTCGAGCTTTTTTAAAGGGATTTAAGCCCAGAGCTGTAGAGCTTTTTTTAGGACTGAAGTTGCTGAGCTTTTTTTAGAATTTTAACCCAGGATATATACTGCCATGGGGGCCGGATTAAATAATAATAATAATAATAATAATAATAATAATAATAATAAAATTTATTATTTATACCCCACCCATCTGGCTGAGTTTCCCCAGCCACTCTGGGCGGCTCCCAATCAAGTGTTAAAAACAATACGACATTAAATATTAAAAACTTCCCTGAACAGGGCTGCCTTCAGATGTCTTTTAAAGATAGGATAGCTGCTTATTTCCTTCACATCTGAAGGGCGGGTGTTCCACAGTGTGGGCGCCACTACCAAGAAGGCCCTCTGTCTGGTTCCCTGTAACCTCACTTCTCGCAATGAGGGAACCGCCAGAAGGCCCTCAGCGCTGGACCTCAGTGTCCGGGCAGAACAATGGAGGTGGAGACGCTCCTTCAAGTATACTGGACTGAGGCCATTTAGGGCTTTAAAGGTCGACCAGCGGTGCGGATTAGGCCCCCAAAACGGACTTTGGACATGCCTGGCCTAAACTGAAGGTGATGACAAAGGCAGAAGGAAAAAGAGCAACCTTATTTCAGCCCAATTACATGAATGGAAGACACCGATTGCAGGATAACATGGTGGAGGTGTTCAGTCTTCCAGAAATGACTTGTTAAATAGTGCCCTTGCTGCAAGAGGCTGCGCATCATGATGGTTATTATAACCTCAGATCTGGTTGCTCTACTGTTCCCGGAAAGGGAGGTGCTTTCTGCCAACATCCCCTTCCATATCCTAGCCCAGATCATTCCTGAATCCCTGTCAGATCAGTTTGGGGAGAGGAAAGATGCTACAGAGCAATGCAATGGGGGACACAGGTAAGATAAGATCCCAACCAAAACTTTTGTCTTATCCTGTACTATGTGGCTTGGGTCTCCTTGTGCCACCTAGTGGTTTTGTGAAGTTTGAGCTTGCACATCATTTAGGGCTTCTGACTTTGCAAAGTCGTAGAGCAGGGGGTCAGCAAACTTTCTCAGCAGGGGGCCAGTCCACTGTCCCTCAGACCTTGTGGGGGGCCGGACTATTATTTTGAGGGGGAAGTGAACCAATTCCTATGCCCCCCAAATAACCCAGAGATGCATATCAAATAAAAGGACACATTCTACTCATATAAAAACATTGTGATTGCCAGACCGGATTTAGAAGGCAATTGGGCCAGATCCGGCCCCCGGGCCTTAGTTTGCCTACCCATGTCGTAGAGTCATAGAATGGTAAGAGTCCCTGAGGAACATCTAATCCAAACCCCTTGCAATGCAGGTATATACAGCTGTTGGGGACCAATCCTGCAACTTTGGCGTTATCAGCACCATGCTCTAACCAACTGAGCTATCCAGGGACTTGATTCCAACTGGCCTTGGATCTTACTCGGCTTCCTCTGCCAGTAAACAGCTATTCGTAGCTCAAGGAGGACTCTTCTATATCAGGGGTAGCTACTCTGTGGCTCATCGGCACCCCAACACGCATGGCCAATGGCAAGGAACAGTGGCAATATCTGAAGATCAGCCATCCCTGTTCTATATTGAGACTTCTTTGCTGGGTGCTTGGTGTTCATTGCACTTTAGGCCAAGAAACACAAGATCCTGAGGGACTTGGGACTACAGTGGTACCTTGGGTTAAGAACTTAATTCGTTCTGGAGGCCCATTCTTAACCTGAAACTGTTCTTAACCTGAAGCACCACTTTAGCTAATGGGGCCTCCGCCTCCGCCACTCGATTTCTGTTCTCATCCTGAAGCGAAGATCTTAACCCAAGGTACTATTTCTGGGTTAGCGGAGTCTGTAACCTGAAGCATCTGTAACCTGAGGTACCACTGTACTTATATGATCACAGTCAGGGTCCCCTAGCAATTACTGCTTGTCAAGTGTGCCTGGTAGGGACCTTACAGCCAAAGAAAAATGTCAAGCCAGATTGTGTTTGTATCTCAAGCTAAATTATGTCTTAATTCCCATGCTGCTGGACAAATACTGCGGCAATTCTGTACCAAACGGCTATCAAGCAGGGCATCCGAGAGGAATGTGTCAACATGACCTAGAAAACAGATCAGTACTGAGTAAAAGAGCTAGTGCGAAGCATTGCAGTGACAGCTACAGACACATCTGAGACGAATGCCAAAAGGAGTTGTTGTGTGCCAGCCAATTGCTGCAAAATCTTGGAAGTTGCTTATGGCACCTTAAAGGCTAACAAATGTATAGCTTTTCTGGGTCAGAGCCCATTTTGGCATCGACGTATTCTGAGACAGTAGTTTGGTTTGGAAGACCAACCAGCCAATATATGTTTAAAATCTAGCTTTTAGTGGTGTCCACTTGGGTAGCAACAATATGCTGGTGTGTTAAAGCAGTGTTTCCCAAACTTGGGCCTACAGCTGTTTTTGGACTACAACTCCCATCATCCCTAGCTAGCAGGACCAGTGGTCAGGGATGATGGGAATTGTTGTCCAAAAAACAGTTTGAGACTCAAGTTTGGGAAACACTGTGCTAAAGGCACCGCTGACCTATTGCCAGATACGCTGGTGCAATTGTTTAGTATCAGGCACTAGCCAATCTTACTGTTTGGTTCATAGTAACTCACTATTGCAATCCTTCCCCGAGTCAAATAAAATCAGGAATCCAGGGTATATTCTTAAATATGGTTTAATACTCTTCTCCATTCTGTACATCACAACACCAAGATATCACTGCTTGGGAGCTCTCTGAAGAGGCTATGTAGTATGCAAAAGGCTAGGATTCTTACCCTTTTAATGTGTTTGTGTAAGTGTAATACATATCGGTATATATTGATATACACATCAATATATAATGCAATATATATCACCAGATATAACACATTGATTAAAGAGATACAAAAATTTGGCATCATTTCCAAACTTAAATAGTAAAAATAAAACTACAAAAAAAGGAGCTGCATACCCTAAATGTGAAACAAGCAGTATATTCAAAAATGTAAATTTACACCCAATTTTTCTGCTCTTGTCATGTCACAGCAGACCCATTTACAATGGCAAAATCCAAGTGTACTGCTTTCTGGAAGAGACTTCACCCTACGTGAACACTTCTCGTGGACAATCACACACACTGCCTGCTTGCGGAGTTATAAAAAGATACAAATTCTATTGCTCACATTGACAGAAAGTCATTTTGGACCTCTTTTTAAGAATACACTGTGAGGAGGTTTACGTTAAGACAAACCCGCCCTCCAGTTCAAGTGAGACAGGATTATTGGAACGATATGCAAAGTTTGCCAGCTGGGGAGTTTTACCAATACATGAAGGACAAGAGGAAAATGTGAACATAGCTAGGCACTAAAATATCAAGAGTATCCTTTAGAAAACCAGACAGTCCCTGGGGGGGTTCGGGAAAGTGAGCTAACTGCCTTGCGTGAGTGATCCCACAGTGTTTAAAGTGAACCTTTGGCGCCAAGCTTCTAAAAAAAGAGAGAACTTGCTAATTTCTACAGTTGCTTCACAGCCGCCAGTGCCAAGGTTGACATCAGTCACATTTTGCTAGCTACTTGCATTTAAAGCCGTTTGTGAAATTTTGATGTTAACTCACACCAAGGCAGCTTATGCAGTCCCAAAGCAGAACTAAAAAAACACCTCCCAAACCCTAGTAAAGAATAGAACCAAGCATAAGAAGCATTAGCTTGCTTGTGGAAACTGTTTATTGACTGACAAGAGGGAAGAGTGAAGGCCACACGACTCATAATCCCCAATCAAGCCTGCCGAGACCCTGGCATTTTGATTGCCACAAATGAGACATACTTCTTGATTGAAACAAGCAGCGCTTTTGCAGTCTTAAGATTAAAATGGGTGGAGCTCCCAGACTGTCTGAATTTACACATCGCACCTTTGAAAGCTGGCATGCCATAAGGGTTCAATTTCTTTTACTTCCACCACTGTAGACCAAGAGCAATGGGTGCACCTCCTAAGGTTCTTCTTCTGCAGTCTAAGCCAAGAACGCCATGTAAATGGGTCGTCTCACTGCAAAACGCAGCGACTTAATTGCCTCCAATCAATTTAAGAAACAAACCAGTATAATCTATTAATTTTTCAAATGAAGGTTTTACAGCAGTTAATGTAGCATGAAGGTTAAAAAAATCATTTTCATAAAATACAAGAGCAACCAATTTCACCATTAAGTAAAAGTAAAAACTGGGATTTTTTTTTTTAAATTAGTCCAAAATGGCATTATAGAAACTTAGTAGATTGCTGCTGTACTGACACTATGACAAATCAGTAGGGTTTGCTTCTTTCTTCTTCTTTTAAACCCGGTGTTCTGGATAAAGTTCTGGAAAAACTCCAATTCTAAGGCAGGGATCTGTTTTGTATTCCATCGCAAGCTTTCTCCTTGGGTTGGATGCTGGAGGGGTGAGGCACGTTTTGCCAGACCCAGGTCGACTACCTAGTAGTCATCAAGGTCAAAAAATTCATCGTCTCCTCCTTGGTATTCCATTCCCTGGAAGTCCACTCGGTACCGCAAGATACCTTTGGAAATAAACGTTAGAAGGAAGATGTTACAAACACTTTGTACCCCGGAGTCGAAAGAAGACTGCACACGTTTCCTTTCCACCTGTATTGATTCAATTTCTCAGAAAGACCTGTGTAAAGCTGCAAGGTGGGAAGAGACCTGTGCCTAAGCTGGCAGGTGAATTCTTCAAGTGAGGCATTTGACTGGCAAGACAAATCTAAAGTCAGAGGAGGTGGTAAAGAATTCTTCCAGCCTGAACAAGCAAGCACTCACAGTCTGACCCAACTGCAGTTGAAATTTGGGATTCAAGTCTGAGAAATAAAAGGCCTGTTATCTGTAGTGAGAGAAGCCAACATCGAACGAGCCTATACTGTATGTGCAAATGAAGAAGTCCCCCTTTTTTCTTTTTTGTAACCTTTATTAATCTTTTTCCCCCCTTTTTTCATGTTTAAAAGTTCTGATTCGTATGTATCTGCAATATAACTAAAACAAAACAAACAAACAAACAAAAAAACCCCAGCCTTTAAATTCCTGTCATCTTGACCAGCAGCCAACAAGAGTGCTGGGAAATTATCACATTAAGTTATTCTCCATCAGTTATAAAATATTGACAGAGATGTGTCCGTGTATGCACTATTGGGGTCTCTCTCTCTCTGTAAGATGAGTTACTTGTAAACCGATTCCCTCTGTGCTCGGTAGAATGTACGGTTTCTGCTCTGGGTGGAGCATACAGGATGTACTGCCCCAAGGAAAACCATACCCCTTTCCTGGTTACAGGTTGTGTCCCCTTATGGGGACATAAGTCCCTCTCTATGATGCAATTCCTCCAAGATTACCCTGAAAAGCTTGTTAACAGACTTGGGAATGAAAGATAGGACCATGGGAAGCATCCATTAGAGAAGGTGGACATAAAGATACAGCAGATCTGTACTGAATCTGAATTTGTTTTTATGAATATGAAATCTCATTATTCTATTATCACTTTGAGATATCACAAAGCAGCATGAACCACAACTGCCTCAATCATAGATACTTATATGCGGCCTAGGACCCTCGTACCTATGGGACTGCCTCTCCTGGTATGCCCCGCGGAGGACCTTAAGGTCCATAAATAACAACACTTTGGAGGTCCCGAGCCTCAAGGTGGTTAGATTGGTCTCAACTAGGGCCAGGGCCTTTTCAGCACTGGCCCCAACTTGGTGGAACGCTCTGCCACAAGAGACTAGGGCCCTGGGGGATTTGACATCTTTCTGCAGGGCCTTCAAGACGGAGGTGTTCCACCTGGCCTTCGGCTTAGACTCACTCTGACCCCTTATATGGGATTTGGTATATAAATTTTCCCATGGTTTTTTTTTTTTTTTTGCTGGCCCATGTAGGACCAGCACGGATAGCTGGCTCGGGTGAATATCTGATGTTTCCTCCCTTTATGGTCTTGATTTATGGGCTACTACTAAAATGAGGCTACATTTTTAAGCTGTATTTTAAGCCATATTTTAATTAACTGTTTTTTTCCCTATTACATTTTATTGTAATTTATATTTGGTGTTAGCTGCCCTGAGCCCGGCCCTGGCCGGGATAGTAATAATAATAATTATTATTATATTTAACAGTTGTAAGAATTCACTAAAGTAATGTAGGGTGCTGCAATTGTGGGTTACAAGAAACACACCACTCTGCCATTTCCCCTTTCCAATTACCTCCAATTCCTCCAAATCCTTTCACAAACTGGGATCCTTCCTGTGACTTATCTGTCACGATCTCCAACGTGGCTCCAAACTTCTTGTAGTTGTTAGCAAACCACTCAAGCAGAGGCATGCTTTCTATCAGCTCGTGTTCCTGTCCAGTCTAAAGATGAAAATGGAAGAGAATTGCTAAGCAAATCTATTTCCTGTACTTCCATCAATAGCTAATATGCCAACTGTCTTAGGTTGCTTTGTAGCTAACGTACGAAAAAGATGCGGCTTTGCATAAATACCTCTTTATCTGTGAAGTGAGATTTATCTTTTTCTTGTTCTGGTGTCAGATAGAGAATCTTCTCCTCTGTAAGGGGAAAGAGAGAGAGAGAGAGAGAAGTTTAAGAGGCATATTAGTAAAAATTCCCCAAGACAATCAGATTGCACATGCACCTGACAAATGAAAAGCCAAATGTTATTAAGCTCAGGGAACTAGAACATCAATTTTTGTGGAGAGGCATTTTTAGCCCAGTCACCATACTTGGAACATTATGGAGAAAAGGTGCAACTAGAATGCAAGCTGGGCCAAAAAATATTGGGGGATGTGTGAGAAAGCTACTGGCTAGAATCCGGGACCACCTATATTCTTCAAGGAGAGAATGTATATGTTCGATGTGTCGTTAAATGCCATCAGTGTGAGCACATCTAAGAGCCAAACTGCTTTACATTGTGATCTACCCATGTTAACATACAATTCCTATTCCCCTAGATCCCAATATTTGTGTCCGTAGGAGCTACGTACCTTCTGTGCCTTGGCAATGGAGAACATATCTCATTATATCCAGGTTCTCATAAACTATCAGAATCTCTACTGCTCCCATTTCTAAGGCTTTTAGAGTGTCTTCAACACCAAAACAGTATTTTCCTGTGTCCTGACTGATCTCATCAAAGTATCGGCCTACATTTAAAGAAAACAAGAGAGATGGAAATGAACATGTCATACATATTTTTAATCAGTGCAGACTGGAACACAAGAGCAACTAAATTTCACGAAGATCACCGCACTGCTGTGACATTAGGGAGACAATGTTGATTACGTTCAGAAAGGTGGAAGGTAATTACTTTGGCAGTCCATGGACAGTTGACTCACTGACACTTTCATAGTTACCAGGTTATGTACCCTGTGACCTGGTTCAGAAGTCACGCTAAACCATAGCTTAGCATGACAAGAATGGGTCTTGGTAAGCTTCAATCTCACTTGCTTCCCGCCCCTTTCAGCAACGCTACAAGGAGGAATCCAACACCTTGTTGGGTTGTTCAAACCTGAATGACTGTGGTTAGTCTTAACTATGGTTTATTTGAAACATGCCAATTTCAAACAGTGGTTTATGAAGCTGGCTTGTTTAGAATAACAATAGTTATATGATGAGGAATTGACACTAGACGTCGCTATCTGTCAATATAATTAGGACTATACATCAGATAGATAAGGACTTGTCCCTCACTTCATTATTTCATGAGAATTAGGCATCAGATGTGCTATACATCAGAGGACTTGACAGCTGGCCTGAGGAGAGGAGGAGCCAACTAGCGGTCATGTAGTTGGCCCAGCCATGGAACTGCCCTGAGACCTCCGGGTATAGGGCGGTATATAAATTCAAACAACAACAACAGACAATTAATTCTGATTCATCGCTGGGAACAGAGGGAGGATGGACACTGTGCCAACTGCAACAGATAAGAGAGGACCTGCTATGAGATTATGCTTGCAAGCCTCTATTTAAGCGTCTGACTTCAGAGGCTTGGCAAGCCTTTGCACAGAGTTCTACCGGTGAATGGTCAGTGTTGGTCTCACCAACTGAGCGAGGGATCTGCTGCACCTGGGGGCTTCGCAGCAAATGAGATGAACCACAAACTTCGCCTTTGCAGTTATTTCCCCCAATATCCTTTTGTTCTTGCACTTCTGGCTTGGTATCTTAAGTCCAACTGGTTAGTGAGTATGATATATAACTGCTAGACGGATTCTTTTGTTTATTAGGTGCTGTCTTGTAGTATTGTAATATTTGCTAACCAATAAACCACTTTCTTTTTTATCTAACAGTCTGCCAGTCTTCCATCTGGTGGGATCCTAAAGAACCTATTGCCTGCCCCTTGCTCTACCCACTAGACAATACACCCTTCCCAAAATTGTGCTTTACCAACACCTTGAGTGTCAGCTTATGATAACTGATTAATTATAGTATTTTATTCATACCTATTAGTTTCTTTTCTTGAATGAATTTCACATTAGATAGGACCTCAGTGGACAATTCAATTGCTTGATTGAATCCATTTTCACCACCATATGAGATGTCAACTAGCTTTAGTACTTTGGACTGCAATCGCTATAAATAAAAAGATGTGGTGTTAGAAGACACATTGCATCAGGCATGAGCAACCATTATGTCTGTTGAATGAAGGCAGCATTCCCTTGGGGGTGATATGTTGGGGGCCAGCAGCCAGCAGCTGTTGGGATCAAAACCAGTAGCTGTGGTTGTCCCCTTCTCTTTTTACCTCTGGCCCAATGGACTGCTGGGGGAGAGGGAAGAGCACAAATTGAACTAATAGCCTGCAAAGGGCTTTTGAAATCAGGCCAATGCTTGAGAGCTGCTCACCAAAGTAAATTAGAAGCCTATAGTTTTACAATGTGGAGTTAACACAACCTCTGGTTGCAAATGAGGTTGCCTCATACTTTATCAATACTAAAATCAGGAGAAACTGGGTAACTAATATCAGGCTTTCACCTCGAAGGCAGTGAAATCCCACCCTCAAAAAAGGGTAGCAAATAACTCTTGCTATCATTTCAAGAGGGAATTTGCAAACCCTCTGCAAAGAATGCAAATACACGGGTGGCATTTGGTGAACACCCAGATCTAGACAGAATAATCTGAATGATTCCAATGGTCACATGATAGAACGTTAGTGCCTGCACATCTCTTTCAAGCTTCTTCTCAGAGTTAATGGCGCCTCTTTTTATTTTATGTATTCACTGAATAAATCTCTATACTATTCTTTGTCAATAACCTCAGAGAAGTTTTCATATATACAGTGGTACCTCGGGTTAAGTACTTAATTCGTTCCAGAAGTCCATTCTTAACCTGAAACTGTTCTTAACCTGAAGCACCACTTTAGCTAATGGGGCCTCCCGCTGCTGCCATGCCATCGGAGCACGATTTCTGTTCTCATCCTGAAGCAAAGTTCTTAACCCGAGGTACTATTTCTGGGTTAGCGGAGGCTGTAACCTGAAGCGTATGTAACCTGAGGTACCACTGTAATTAGAATTATCATCATTAAAACTGTAAAGCCCAATATCACATTAGAAGCAGTACTAAAATCTGTATCAAGTCAACAGCAGAAAGCAGTCCCTCATTACAAATGGGCAATTCTCCATCAGCCAAAATCCCCATTTACCTGATCAAACATGTCTGACTGACTTAGTTCAGTTTTGAAGTCAGCTGACCCAGCTAAAACGAGACCAGCCACGTTCACCTTGTCGCCAGAAATGAACAGCTGTACAGCCGTTTCTGCTACTTTCCTTACATAGTTGTGCCGCTTCTCCATTCTCAAACGAGCAAAACGCAAGGCAGACTGACCTCCTCTTCCTTTGAGAGACAGAGGTAAAAGCACAGCAATAATGAAAGTTGTTTCCATCCCCGGGTTTTCCCCCCACCCCCATTTTTTTTAAAGCCAAATGTTTTAGAATTCTTTCATGTACTTTGAAGTGCTTGGACCACATGTTTGTCAAAGCATATAACCAAGTTCACACAAAATACACGTCTATGTTAATGTTCACAGACACTTGTTTCAAGGTAGATTATTATAAATTATGACTCAACTGCAATTACCACAACAGCATTATTGTGTGAGGACATCGTGGATGGTGCTCATCACATGAAGCCAAGCCTATTTAGTGATCATACTTGCTGCACAAAGCACTATTACTGGCTGTGTCGATTGACTGCTTCATTAGTGCAATGGCAGCTTTCTGCAAAATCACAAAGCATTTAAGCAATGGGATGCTGGTCTGTATCTATCTGCAGTATTACTACATTCAAGTTACCCAAATAGCATAGAAAACAATAATTTAGGTATGCAATATCCCTCCTTCCAAATGACATGACAGAGCCACTTACAAATGTTCCCAATCATCTTCTCTTTCCTTTATAAACCATGTTTTGTCCTATCTACTATTAATAATTCTTGAGCTATTTTTACACATTACCATGCTTCTTTGGGAGGTCGACTGTGAACTTGTGAAGCACCTCTCTGGTGTTTCCTTGAAGAGTTCCGAAGAGTGCACCACTACCATCTATTACAATAAAACCAAACTTGCTGTCGTCTGACAGTAGTGCTGTAAGGGCCTGAAAATCAATGCAGCAGATGCCAGTGTTATACTTACGATATTCAATAGCTATGGAAAGACTGTATCAATACGATCAATCTAGGAGGAGGAATGTTCTCCTGAAGGAATGCCTTTATCCCTTCTTTTAGACTCTGAGAATCTATCTTGACTCGCTTCAAACTCATGTAAAAAACCAAGTTAATTATGTTCATCTAGGGCCTTTTTGAATTTAGGAATGTCACTGCTCACTGTGCAGCATCCCTTTAAGCTTGCTAGAGAGAACTGTTAGCAAGTTATTTCTGATTATGATGACGTGCAAGCTAATTAAGGGGAAATAATCAGAAGCCAGCCTGAGTAAGTAGCAAATGGGCAACCCAATAAAAACACTTCTACACAAAAAATATGCATTATTTTGTGAAAGGGAAAAGAAAAGCAAGCATCAAAAGAGAAAAAGCTCAAACTGGTGCTTGATGGAGAATATATGAGCTATACACAATAAAAGTCTGAAGCTTGCATTTTGTGCCATCCCTGCAATTAATTGCTCACCTAAGGCAATCAGCAATTGTTTGAGTAAGTGAGCGTCAAACAGGAACATCAAAGCTCTAGAACCATGATAGCAACAAGCACAGGTGCAATATGACTCAACTGGAATGGCCAGCCCCAAGTGGCCAACTTAGCATTTCTGACTAGAAACAGTGTTAGGGGTGTGCAACAATTTAAGCTATTAAAAGCCTTTCACAACTCCATTGACTGGCACACCACATGAAAGAACTGGACGTTACAAATATGTTCTGAGATGCAGGTGGCTGTAACACTGGCAAAAACCTGCCCGAAATGTATATTAAAAAGGAACCATAAGTATACTGTTACTGTTTTATTTAGACCAATATAGAAAAAGCAAGTTTAAGTCTTTCAGTCAGAACTGGTGTCGCATGAATACCAGACCTTTTCCAATGATATTTGCTGCACACATTGGAGACATTGAGCAGGGTTCAACTAATGAGTCCCATCAATCGAAGCCCTGAGCAAAGCCTTCTACTTGCTCAACAGGGCTTCTGCCCCCCCCCCAAAAATGGCTCGGGGTGTGTGTGTGCGTCAGGAGAATCTCTGAAACAGAATGAAGGGGAAGGAGAGGGTGGGATTTTTTGGTCTGGAAAGTCAAAATGCTTATGCTGAAGGAATGATCAGAAAAATGTTGAATTTCTCCCAATATGTGAGAAGTGGGAACTGTTTTTGCATCTTCCCCACAACAATTGCTAATGCAGTGTTTCTCCCAGAAAGTGGGAGCATAACCAGTGTTTGAAACTCCCATTGTTCTAGGCACATTTTGCGACAGGGAATTTCATTACCAAGAGCAGCTTCTGAGCTCTGGGCACAGTACTGTGCCTAAGATGGAAGGAAAGGAGGACCCTTTTCTGCCTCCCCATTTCCAGAAATTCTCTGAAGACTGGAGAAGAGACCCTCTCAAGAATATTAGGGGGGTGGGCAGGGGAAGGACATGTGAAAAATGAACATAATATTTTAGCTGCAGTTCATTCATTTTCAGCTTTGTATTCTTGTTATACAAAAAGCACGCCTAGACATTCCATTGTTGTGCCCATAACCTAGGTTTAATGTGCCATTTAGCTCCTAGCTTTCTTTATCTCAGTTTCCAACACTGAGCATAACACAGTACACCGATATTAATTGATCTGAGCATCACTGACATGCCAAGTTCACAGGCAGATCAAGAAATGGTGCCCCCTTGCTATTGCTACACAACAATTCTGAATAAACCAGATATCCAATGGTTGCCTGGAAAAATTAACCAATGAATCAGAATTGTTTCTGGACTAAGAAATAACACAATAGCTATCACACATTTTATCTATAATTATGTGTTTGAAGTGGAAGGTAAGGCCTAGTAAATCACAGTGTTCAATTCCAGGGGAAAAATAAATCCCTGTATCTCATTGGAACAGTCCACTGAAATCACTTGCGTGGTCTGGCATTTTATGTCTGCAATTTGCTCAGCTCACAATTACATTTACAACCTTCCAGACAAAAATGAACACATGGATCCCAACATTTGTGATGCTATCAGCCTTTGTTTCTGGAAAGGTCTGGACCCTTGATGTATAAGTAAACAACCTTGCTTAGTATCTTTGTATGTGAACAGAAACAGGAAATCATGTTTTGAAGTAAAATACACAAGTGTATGTTGAATTCAGAAATAGGTTGTTATAATTAACATCTAGTAACCAACACATTGTATACGATAACTATTCATGAGCATACTGCAAACTGAGCAAAGTTATCATGAGCCAAATTTACAATCTGGCTAGAAATGCAAAATGACACTTACCTCTGTATGGAATTTATTATCGCACAAATACAACGATGTATTTATTGGTTTGAAAGGTTCAAAATCAATGTTCACTTTCTTCTCCTTTCCTTCTTCTGTCACAATTGTTCCACAGTATACAACAAGACCATTTGGAGGTACTGTAAAAAGCACAGGGTGCAACCTTAGATGATGCCAAAGCGAGCACAAAGTTATTCATAAAGCAAGCAGAAGAACTTTTTACCTTTGTTATAAAGTTTTAGCCGTTGCTGTACAGATGTAATGGCGCCGAGGACTGAAAGGCGATTCACTCGAGATTTAATGTTTGATGCTGTACCAAACTCATCCGCTAACATCTTTGCTACTCGTGAAATCTGGTCTTTGGGGGGAATGATCAATGATATCATGCTGGTGCCATTGCTAGGGAAGAAGGAAAAGAAACTATGTTAACACAAGTTGTGTGACTTCAAGCCTGGAAGAAAGCATGCCCAAAACTAATCTCAGATGTTCAAGACTTATTCTCTTTCCATTATTTGCAACATCCTTTTGGAAATAAGGCCTTCCATGCAGGCCAGTTGCTTATACTGACCACAGGACTACTATGAGCCTATGTACACACCAAACTGGCAATGTTATATACAGTGAAATAGCAGGCACGCCTTCTGGGTCAAACTCACCTGATATGCAGTCCCAGAATCAATCTGTGGACTAAACCTTGCCACCCCACAATTTAAAACAGGCTACCTCTTAGAACATACTAGTCTAGCTGTTATAAAGACTCGATGGCATAGTCAGCTCCCACAGCTTTCTTTGTGCTTCTCGTCTTTGTATAAAGGAAGTTCCACCAGTTGTTCCTAATATTTATGGTAAGAATATTTAAAAGTTTCATCACAACTTTCATCACAATGAGAAGCACATTTTTATTCTGATTTGTTTTGAGCCAACAATCTATACCTTTTCTCCAAACAGAAATAGTTCTTATACCTTTAAAGTTGCCTTATCTGAACTGAAATGACCAACCCAGAAGGTAAATGAAACTTTGAGGCTACAGCATCTTGAGAAATACCAAATCTTTCTTCAGGTATTTTCATCCCTGAGGTCTATGTGCTTTATGAGGCATTAATGCCTTAACTTCCTAGCTGGTTCCTTCCAATGTAAGGGGCAGAAGAGAATGGGAAACTCAAATAGCCTTTGGAGGCTGCATACTTCTATTAGTGCTATTTTCTGAAAAATGTTATCTCTTAGATAGTAGCAAGCTTCCAAATGCACACAGAGGGGAGTTTTATGTGTTTTAACACATTTCTATACCTCCCTTCACTGGATCAGATGTCATAGCAGTGAGCCATATCATTCACAATACAATAAAATGTAGCCCAAGAGACAACAGATAAAACCATAAAACATGCCAAAGTATACAAATTTTTTAAAAAATGCTTTAGTAAATAAAAAAAGTCTTAACCTGACATTTAAAAGCCTGGCAAAAGATTTGTACTGCAACTTATTCTGTTTGCTTTAAGTGCTAGGGCTAGCAAGATTGCTAGGAAAGCTGTACAACAAAGTCAAAACAAGATGCATAGTTCAAGCACCCTGAATATTAGATCAAATTGAATATACAATATTTACTTCTCCTCACCCTGAATTTAAGACAAGAAGTCTGACTCGTAACAAGTAGCCTGTACTCAATAAGAGAGCAAGCCTACACAGATGGGATAGAATGTACTGGCATATGGGAGTTCCACAGTTACACATTTTTATGGAAGGGAAACCCACGAGAAAGACTCATAACAGCAGCCAGGAATGCAAATCTAACAATGGGACAAGCCTACCACATGCCTCAGTAATTTTCTTTTTTTTTAGTTTATTGAATTGTTTAAACAAGCACAACCCCCATTCCACCCCCAAAATCTCCACTTCCTCCTTGTCAACTAACCCACACAGATCACACACCCTCCTATTGGGGAAGAGAAAATTTCTAGTACACTAAAAATTTAGCAGCTAAACATTTAACCATGCTTACAAAACGCAAGCTTTTAATATGTCAGTTACTAGCACTAAGGTAACACTCCTTTCTTTTATGTCTTTGCTCTCCCAACCATCACAGCTACAATCAGGGTTCAAAACTAGCAGGGTGCCAGGCACATTTTGCACCTAAAGGTTCTCCATTTGAGAGCATCTTAAAACGTATGGGTGCCATTTGTTGTGCCTGGCTGACACTCAAGAATTACTGAAATGTATGGCTTTGAAGCCTCAAAGTGTATGTTAAGGATGGACAATATGTTAAGGAGTTTAACAATAAAGAGTAGAGTGTTTCGGAAACTGAAGTATGCTACCAATATTTTTTACTGTAAACACCAAATTAAACATGTATTAACAATTTCTGTTAAAAATGTGATATTAAAAATGTGTCACTTATGTGAATTGTGTATTACTTCATGCTTGGGCTCCTAGCTTTTCTATCCCATTTTCTAACATTGGCTATGATGGACAGAGGAAGTCGTCAGACCTACTCCTTTTGATTCATGGATTTTCACTGTAGTGCACTTTACAGCACCCATACCATGAGACTAGTACAGTAAATGATTTAGCTGAATCGGGTTAGATGATTTTTTTAAGGCAAGAGGCAAGACCATTTATGATACTTCATCTATATACGGTAAGTTTACATCTTATATAAAAAGTTGTATGAAATCATCCATATATTGGACCTATACTGCAGGGTGCTAAAATATGTTTTGTAGTTCAGACAAGGGGCAGTGTATTAAAGCTACATGGCAGTCTTACTGCTATAGCTAATTAGATTAGAAACTCCATGAAATTAGTTTCAGTGACTTCAAGATACAAATTGTTAGAATAGCCATTTAAAAAGTTTGTACTGTACCATACCACATTATTCTACAGTTGGGTCGAGTTTCTTTAACTTTTCAAAAATTTCTAATTCTATCAGTATATACTTCAGTTGCGGGGGAGACCTTTTATCTTATCACTTCAGTTGCGGGGGAGACCTTTTATCTTATCTTAATTTCCACTCAGATACAGTACAAGCCAATTTCTACATCTAACTACTCAAGGATGCAATGAAAAATCACTTCAATGACAGTAAGGTTTTTTCACTTCCTTATGTCATTTTAAAAAAGGATACCAATTGCCACCTCGTGGAATACACTGCTGCCATCTGCTGGTTAAATATCTTATCAGAACAAACTGTGATCAAGAGGAATGATAACAGATCTGTGCTGTCTTAATCAAGATTCGGATTAACTTTCAGCATACCGTAGTTTCAGTGCTCTAGAACCTGATCCCTGAATACTGTCAATTATTCAGACGATTTGGAATCCTCAGTTGGCTTCAGTAATCAAACACTGTGTGTTGATTAACTAGAACTCAGGCTATCTTGGTATTATCATGCTAAGATAGCAGAAAATTTGTACAATTACAACACAGGCTAATGGTAAAATATCTTTAGAAACTACCACAAATAATGTTTTGCCTTTCTAGGACCAAAATTGTTCATTCGTTCTCTCTCTCCCTCCCTCTCCCACACTTGCGTGTGTCACAAGTGAAAAACCAGGAGAAGCATACCTCAGCTCAGTTAAGGAAGAGCCTCTCCAGAGAAATGTGCCCAGAATCATTCTTGTGGTCTTTTTTGCACTTTTTTTTAGTCACTCAGCTCTTTTAAACAAGATATGCTTAATGATCTGGGCATCTTCATTTATAATTTGTGTTCTATTGCGTATTTATGTTAATTGTTCTACTTTTTCCGCCAGAATTCATTTATGCTTTTTCAATACCGCATTTCTTTAAAAAATTATGAGCCAACAAGAGAACATTTGCTATTGGGCAGTCATACAAATGCAATTAGCACTGCTTATTATTTAATAATTAAATTATGAAACAAATGACTAAGTAACAGCTCATGAGGTCATTATATGGATTACCAAAATGCGGCTTCAAAACACTTTATAGTACAAAACCACACTTCTTACTGCTCCACAACTGAGGGGTTCCCCACAACCACCCAAGGAGCTTCACAAATAGTAATTTAAACCTATGTCGCTCACGTCCAAGTTCAACACTTTCACAAGAGCATATGGGTAATATTTCAATACAGTGCACACATTTGGGAGTTCTCTTGCGCATCAGAGCAGTACAGTCACTAGAGCAAATGACTGCTCTCACAACTTACGCATGCTAGGGTATGGATTATCATTAGAGAGACAAAGTGAGTGCCAATTTACTAGCCAAACAGGAAGCTTGTATAAACAGCTGATGCACCAACACTCCAATCCCACTTTGGTTACTAGGCCACTATAGCAGTTGCCTAGCTGCTGAAATCACACACACCGGTGATTTGACTCCACCCTAGGCAAAGCTTGTTGTGGGTGCTAAGGAATAAATCTATAGAGCAATGACAAATGGTTTCTTTTTCTTTGGGGCTACTCTGTTCGCTGAAAACTGCTCTCTGAGGGCAGGTAGCATATTCTGCAACAGGAACTGCTCAGGTTCTAGAATAAGGTTAATGTCAGCCAGAATGCACAACTGATCCAATGCTTTCTTTCCTAACCCCATCCTCCTCCCACTTTGTATACTGTCTACTAGAATGTGAGGCTGTAGGCAGGAACAGTCCTATGTTTTAATATCTGTATGGTGCTTTGAAAAGTTCAGGTACTTTATATTAGATAAAAATAATAATCTAGCAGCAAGGGCTTCACAAAAGTGGTACGCACATGCTAATGGATATGATTACTTACAAATATGTGTTCTTATATATGGATGCAGAGTGGTGATGTGGATTGGAATTTATACAGCTTCTTTTTTTTTCTTTTTTTTTAGTAAAGTGGTTCTTAGCTGTAAATACTCCTCAAAACAAATTGGGGATCATGGTGGACAGCATATTTCAGGCCATCTTACAGAAGAGGTAGGAGCCCGGGCTACACAGGTCAATAAAAAAATCTGATGGACTGGGAGCATTTCTGCAAGGCTTTGCGCCCCTGAACTATTTAATGAAATAAGCTTCCATTATGCAACTACCAGCCCATGGTTCTGGGCAACTAAACGAAAAGCATCTGAGCATGTTCTAAGTCTTAAAGTTTTCCTGATCTAAGTCAGTGGAGACCTAGCATGCCATTAAAAAATCCCAAACAACCCACTGCTTTACATGCAATGTATTTTTATTTAATACCCTTTTTCTACCTCCACCTTAGGGATACAGTGGTGCCTCGCAAGACGAAATTAATCCGTTCCGCGAGAGTCTTCGTCTAGCGGTTTTTTCGTCTTGCGAAGCAACCCTATTAGCGGCTTAACGGATTAGCGCTATTAGCGGTTTAGCGGCTATTAAAGGCTTAAAGGCTTAGTGGATTAGCTGCTAAAAGGCTATTAAAGGCTATTAAAGGCTTAGCAGATTAGATAAAGGGGGGAAAAGCGGAAAAAAAATCTCAAGACTTGCAAGACATTTTCGTCTTGCGAAGCAAGCCCATAGGGAAATTCGTCCTGCGAAGCAACTCAAAAACGGAAAACCCTTTCGTCTAGCGGGTTTTCCGTCTTGCGAGGCATTCGTCTTGCGGGGCACCACTGTATATAATGCGACAATAACTGGTGGATCCTGGGCCCAGAGGACTGCACACTGAAGCTCCCCAACTCAACATGCACTATGAAGACACAGAAAGGGGCGCAGAGTCATGAAATGCTAAGGTGGTCTGAAGTGAAATGTGGAATAATGCGATAATGAAAAGGTTAAGCAACAGACACAAGAGTAGGCACACGGTGAAGTCATAGTCTGAGTACAATCTAAGTGCACAAGTGGGTTGTCTCCAACAAAGCCATCCTGTTAACACAAAGACTTCCACCTCTGTAGCAGGCCTATTTCTTCCTCTCTAATTCGTTCAGGGCTCCTCCCCAACCCTCCAGGGTAGATCTGGGAGGAAGCACAGGGCAAGCACAGCGATAGAAAGTCCCATTGCATAGACATAAATTATTGTGCTAACAGGACTTTGCTGGATACCCTCAGATATGATATAAACAGAAGGCACTGGCAAAATAATTCTGGGAAACATAGACCAAGGTAGAACATTTTATTTACAAAACTGCTCATGCACAAATTGAAATCTTTATTTAAAGACAAAAACACAGGATCTGTCTCTGATGTAACTTTCTCATTAAGCTCCCCACAAAAATGAGGCCTACTTTCCTGACACCCCAAAATGTGCAAGTTAAGCACACTAATACCAAAACCTAAGTTTTTAGGTTTTCTAGCCAACCTATTGCTTGTGTAAAATAAAACGTTTTTTAAAAGCACAATGAAGAATGGAGGTGAGTATATACTCACTTAGAGATATATAATTACAAGTGATTCATAAATATTTAAATAAATATGAAAGAAAGGGTAGGCAATTGGTTGAGAAGGGTCACTTTGGAAGTTGCATTCCGAAAGAGTTGCTAACATCATGCTAGATAATTCCTGCCATCAGCACTAAACAGGAAAAAACATTAGGTAATGCAGCTCCTCTATGGAAGAGTAAGGAAGCAAATACATCAGCCAGTGAGACCAGACTCTCCGAAGGCAGACAAAAGAGCAGTCTGTATTAATACTAAAAATAAGTGGCACTTCAAGTGAAGAGAACACACGTCTTCTCCAAATGAGGCTTCATGTGACAGCACAGCCATCCTGGTGATGATACAAGTTGGGCACTAGGTTGGCCAAGGCTGTTATGGACAAACAGATTTTCAGCATGGCTCCCCATCTTATGTTTATGGCTTTCTCTTCTAAATATCTGAATTTCAACTCCCCGCTCCAAGCCTTGTAAGAGTGCAAAGCTTTGATCTGCTAGGCTATCAGCATGCACCCTGATGTGGTTCCTGCTCAGATAAGCACAACCAGAATGGCACAACCATCTTGCAAGCTTCTAATCAAAGCAATCAGATGGCAAAAGAAAAGAAAAGAAAAAAGCCTAGTGCTGGGCAACTCAAGAGTACAGGCAACGACCGTTTTAGGCGCATCCAATATGTGCGCAACCATGCTCATGCGCTGAACCTGGAAATGACCGATAAACGTCACAAAAAGCAGCAGCACAGGGTGTCTGCAGGCTTTTGCAATGGTGTTTCAAATAAACACAATTTCACTTAAATGCACAGTGCCTTGGAACATAACCCCCACTTAAATTGTGAGTTGCCTGCACCAAAGAAAAGCCTTGAAAAAATGTAGGATGCTTTCCCCCTCACCACTTAAAAGCCATGCTGGGTTGCATCCTGAAGTGAATCTGCAAGAAGTGGAGCTTCCTCAGCAAAGTTGTGGGCCCTCCCTAAATAATCTTAGTTAAAAACTCAGTACCCACTTCCGTATTCATTATATCTTCCAAACAGTTTTTGGAATAAATTCCATGTCAAGTTTCAATATGCTAATTTATTTCAACTATTTATATGCCACTTAATTCCAACCATCTCGAATCAAGAAGAGTATATTAAACTTCCTAGATCTTGCTTCTCTAGGTGTGAGCATAGTTTAATCTGCAAAAAGGCAGCAAGGCCCAAGATACAACCTGGGCATCCAGAATTAAATTTGGTCCAGAACAGTACCTATGGCTTCAAGTACAACGCAGCTCCATTCAAAAGAAAACACCCCCCACCACAATGCATGCACACAGGTCCCACAGAAGGCTTAAGAATGTGTTTGTCTGGATTCAAGCTTATTTACTCTCATCGGACATACCATTGTTGCTTCTGGGTCACAGGAGAATAATATAGCTGGGTGTCTTTAGTACTTCAAAGACACCACACTCCAAACCTCCAGACAGTCCTTCTCAGTAGCTTTATATAGATAGTGAACATAGGAGCCAATTTGAAACTGTGCAATTCCCCATAGGTTAACTCCCAAGTCCAACCGCTATCCTCTGAAGTCATATTGGAAATAAAGAGTGCAACCTGGCAATCAGGCAGTTCCCAACAAGAGGCGATACATTTTTCTTTCGTTCTGGATATCTGTGTTCCATAAACTTTAAGACATTCCCTGTACTTCAGATATATGAATATGTGTGGAAAGAATAAAAAAGGATCACAGGAGTCAGGACTACAGTGCTTTGTACGGCTTCCTATCCTTCTACATCTGCCACAGTCCCACTCCAAATTCAGCAGGCCAGCTAATAAAATTTCCATGTGATTTCTTAATACTCACACAAAAATGTACTGAAGGTGGTAGTGGGTTGTATTGAAAGTGGATGACCAATTTTATACTTGGATTACTGTTCAGTCATTGTTGGAGCTTCTTCAAACTGCTCAATTAAAAAAGTCCAGTATTTGCACTCCTGAGAAAGGCTATTGTTTATTGGACCACTTAATGGAACAGAGGATTGTATAAGATTTGAAACAATTGTACTGTTAAATCCAAGCAGTAAATATTATTTGTTGTGGTTTTATAGCTCCTTTGGTAATAGTCTCAATGACGAATATAATGATTAAAGTAAGCAGGATGTAATATACTGCCTATCTAGCAGTAGTGTGCAATAACAGAAATTTAGTATAGGATTACTGTTTGATCTTAATTGTTGGGGCATGGACTTTGCTTGTCTCGCCAGCTTTGCTCCAGACCATCCACCACACAGGAGAAACAAATCAAGACCCCTGGTTTGGCCTTATGACTGAATCAATTATTGTGGTTTATTTGGAGTGAAACGAACTACAATTTCTGGATTGAATGCAACGCTAAACCGGGGATTACGGATTGTTTATACCACATGTGTAGGCTGACTGTTTGGCAGTAATAATAAACATTCATTATACCACAGGCAAGAGGGGAGAAGCAAAGCAGTACAATAGACAATCACCTTCAGATTCTAAACCCATGAATTCATCCAATCTTTGCTACACTTGCCCCCCCCCCACAAACACACTTGTATTTTTGTCAAAAATTTTCAAAGAAAACATGCAATGTTCTTCCACGTTGCCAACAGCTGATTGAAGTCAAAATAATCAGCATGGTATGATAATTAACCAATGCCGAATACAAAGCCCAGAGATGCTTTGGGCTGCCTGGGGTGGATGACTTCATAAAGCAGATTATCAAGAATCTCCACTTGCCAAAAAAGTTTTAAGTTTCCTATTTAATCTAAACCTCCACATTTTGGAACGCAGTAAACTGAGAGACCATTTCGCTCCTGCAGTAATCTGTACCCTAACACCAGTTGCTAGGCATTAGAATATTGTGAAGTAAAGAGACATGAGAAAGGCTTTTCCCACAAGACACAGCACATTCAACAATAATCTTAATCCTAACATGCATTTAGTAGGGTACAAGTTCAGCAAGTTCACCACAAACAATAAGTCCAGTTCCTCAAAGCAGGACTCACAGCAGCATGCAAAAGGTTATGCAATTATCCTCAGCTATATATACACATGTCTTTTTAAAAGCCACAGTTTGAAAAATTAACATTAGGATCTGTCTCGAGTCTTCTTAGGGTCATGGTTTTTCTTTTTATAAATATACCAGGTGTAATACTTACTGAAAGGTTATGATCAGTGTTCAAAACTCCCATTGTTCTAGGTGCATTTTGCGACAGGGAATTTCATTAGCGCAAACAGTTTCTGAACTCTGGGCACAGTACTGTGTTTAAGATTTTAGATTAAAACTGCAGAGTGGAAGGAAAGGAAGACCTTTTTCTGCCTCCCCACTTCCAGCTACTCTCTGAAGACTGGAGAAGAGACCCTCTCAAGAATATTAGGCAGGTGGGCAGGGGAAGGACTATCCCATGTGAAAAATGAACATAATATTTTAGCTGCAGTTCATTAACTTTCAGCTGTGTATTCCTGATACAAAAAAAGTGTGCCTAGACATTTCGTTGTTGCGCCTGTAACCTAGGTTTAAAGTGCCACCCAGCTCCTAGCTTTCATATCTCAGTTTCTAACACTGGTTATGATTCTGATACTATTCTTTTTAAGCTTTCAAAAAATTTGGGCCAGTTCATTTATACTTGCTGGTGAGGGCATAGCTGTAAGGATTGTGCAACCTTAGTATTTACTACACAATATTCAAAACTCAGAGACTCAACATCAAAAGTTGTCCTCCAGCCTTTTCCCCAAATTAGCAGCAAAATCTAATGAGGCGTGTTACTGGAATGTAATGTTTATTAAAATTTTGATACATGGCAATGAGGCCATATGGAGTATGCAATGCCACACACACACACACACACAACGGATGGGATTCATAGACAGACTATCCCACATGTGGCATTTTGGAAGCTGCTCCTACTTCAGATATGCACAATCATTTCTAAAGTCTCACTGCTGTGTTGCACATTCCACACACTGAAAGACCACCCTGGATCATTCCTTCTTGACGTTTAAGTTTTCACAGTTCGTTTTTTATTTTTAAAACACACCACACATTCCTATTGCCCTTATTATTTCCTTGTGAGACTGTTAACACCATACTCCAGAAATGTCAACCTGAAGCCTCAGCAACCTAAAATTCAGTACAACAAGCATTAGCAATGATAAGCCGACCTTCTCATGCTGCTTTTTGACTGCTATCAAAGTTTACTATCTGGAAACAGTATCCAATCAACTACCAACACAGAAATTCTCATTATCAACAATTAACCAGTGGGTGGGATCCAGGCAACCCAGTATACATGCACAGAGCACTTCAAACTTCGGAAAGGCATTTTAGATGTCTGTCACCAGAAGGAGGGAGTTTCCTTGTGCGAGACACTGTCTGTGGCACTTCGTATCCTGACGCTGGCTACTACAGTCTAAGAGAATTTACACCTCACTTCCCAGGCTGCTATAAACACTTGGAGCTTGTAAACAATTTGTATTCCTTGTCTTCCTGACACATGTTCAATAGTGAACACTTCTTTTCAGTGGCAGCACATTAAGTGCCAGCAGAAATCAGAAGCATGTCTCTCTGTCATGTGGATTCCATGTTTCACATAATCCTCCAACATGGGAAATGTAAGGTTGCATATAAAATTAATGCTTGCAGTGTGAGGAATAATTGCTAATATGCTGAAAAAAGCCAGTAATTTCTCCTTAGACATAAGCAGTTGCCATTGAATCAGACTACTAGATCAGCTATACCACTGGGATTTAACTATAGACTCCAAACAAGGTACAATAAATCCATAATGAAGAGCTAAAGTGTCCAGCTCCTTTAGCAAATATTCTACTTGGATTCGGAGCTATGAGGCTGGGAATACACAAAGGTATTAAGAAAAATGTTTCTGAGAATGTACTAATGATATACAGGCATAACCTGCACAAGTTTCCACTAGAGCATATCAGTTCTGAAGTTTAATGTCTAGCAACCTGTCCAGTCACACAGCAAACACTAACTTCATTTACTCGGTAATTATAAAACGAGAGCAAAAGTTTAATGAACAGAGCACTCAAGTGTGGGTACCATGTGCCTTTTCCCAAAACCAGGCTGTCTGTCATATTACATGCTTTCAGCTCAGTACATAAAAACCTACACGGGCAAAACATTTTTTTTGGGGGGGGGTGGGATTGATTTAACTTCACCACAAAACACACAGCAAAGTGGCAAATGTAAAGTTCCCATGTGAATCTAGGAGGGTAATTGGTCTGGCCTATGCTCTTCTTTGGCAGCTGATGAATCATAGGATCATACAATTATAGAGTTGAAAGGGATCCGAAAGCTCATCTAGTCCAACCCCCTGTAATGCAGGAATAAGCAGGTGGCATGCATGGAATTTATAGCTAAGTAGTCTCCCTCCTGAAGGGCTAACCAATTCTGGCTGGCTTTTATAGTGAGCCACTATTTGTGATCCCCACTAAATTCACACCACTCCCAAGTCCTCTGGCACACAGATAATTCAGGAGAAGAAAGGCATCACTCTCACTTCATGATAGGCTTGAGAGACAAATTAGTCACCAAAGCACAGCACCTCCCCTCTCCCAAGTCATCCATGTATGTAGGGAGGAGGAAATAGGCATGGCCTGTTCTTCCCAACCAGTATAAAGTGAGACTCTCCCACTCTCTTCAGTGCATGGAAAACTTCAGAGCTCTGAAATAAAAACAACTGCCACAAAGGCTACTATTACCTGGTGGCCCCCTGGTAATCTCATTTGCAGGCCTTCATTCCCCACTATGGTTCTTTATTAGGAAAAACTAAGCACAAAAAAATAGTCCTCCAAATGTGTACAATACAGTGAGAATGGAAGGAAAACTGAATAAGGAAACATAGCTTTATAATCAGGAGGCTGCATTTTTGGCTCAAAATTAATCTCTATATAAATAAAGACACTAGTGTGGGTTTTTTTAAAGTCACTCCTGCTTCACAGGTGAGTGTGACTACCAAGCAAGCCATAGCAAGTAATTCAGTGGAAGTGGAAAAATATAGCCGAAGACAACACAAGGCAGAGAACTGCACCTCACTTATATATACCTCTCTACGAAGAATGGAAAAATTTAAAGAAACCCAAGAGTAATGGAATGTCTCCACTCCAGATGACGAAATGCAGGGAATAGGGTGGGGGTAAGATGACTCTTGATACCAAGAGACAAAGCTAAATACAGCCTTTGAAGCAGGGCCCAAGTCACACGAACCCACATGCTTCACATTCCTTGTTTGGGGATTCAAGGTTGGGACCTGGGCACTTAAAAAACATTCACCTTTCTCTTCTTAGGTGCCCAAGCGGGACAAGCCCACAAGCCTTCTCTTTGCCTTCTATGCACCTGTAGCTCCATATGGACCTTGGCCTCCCAAAAACAGAGGCAAGAGGAAGAAAAGGCCTACCACTCTCTGGGGGGGGACCCCATATGTCTGGACTGAATCGCTTTATAGCTGTCTGAAAGGGGGGGTGAGTTGAAGGTTTCCACACAGGTGACATCCACATGACTGAATAGTTCTCCATACAGGAGCGAACCAACCCAGTTTTGAAAGGGGGGGGGGAGAGAATACTTGAGCCTGGCTTTCTCCCTAAAATTTTAAGCTTTCTATACAGTGGCGATTATTATATTTTTGGGGGGGAGGGGAGCTGAAGCGACTCCTGTTCCACCCCCACCCCCCTTTTATAACCCGAAACGGAAGGTGTCTTCCACCCCCACCCCAGGCCCTTCCCCGCCCTCACCCGCGAGCCGCCTCGAGGCTCTTGATGAGCTTCTTGATCTTCCAGATCTCCACGTTCCTGTCGGCAGCGCTGGGATCGTCCGCCATCTTCTCCCTCCTCCTCCTCCTCCTCCTCCACCGCCCCTCCTGCGGCTGTTCGAGTCAACCGCCAAGGCCGCCGCACGGAGAGAGGGGGGGGAAAAGAGAGAGAAAAAAATGAGAACGGAGCCTCGGCTGAGGTAAAAGTAAAAGCCGTCCCCTCCCAGAACAGGCTGTGCTAGGCTAGGCCCGCCCCGGTCTCCCGTCACCGCGGGAGTGCGGCCACCACAAGCCCAGCCAAGCGCTCCTCTGAGGGGAAAGAACGGGCGGGCGAGCGCGCGCGCGCGTTTTTACCTCAGGCCTCGCCGCCGCCTCCCTTCCCTTCCTTCTCCGGACGGCAGCGAAGGGCTCCTCGCGACGGCGCCTGTGACGTCGCTGACCGGCTTCTTCCTTCCTTTCCTTTCCGCCTCCCTCGCTCGCTCGCGCCCCCTCCCTCCTCCTCCTCCTCTTCTCCTCCGCGCTGCATGTGTTGCAATCGCCTCACATGGGGCTCCTGACGTCAGTTCCGGTCCCCGCACGTACGCACGCAGCGGGAGAAGGGAGGAAAGGATGCGGGACGCGCGTGCGCGAGGCGGAGGAGAGACAGCGCTCTCCGCCACTTCTCCTCCTCTCATTGGTTGCCTAGCTTCCTCTCCGCGGAGGAGGCGCCGCCCCCACCACCAGCTCCGTCACGCCTTCCGCAGCGCGCGGCATGCCGGGAGGCGTAGTTTGCTGCCACAGGGGGGAGGTCGCGCAGGGCGGATGCGGGGCTCTCGCGTTGTCCGTGTCAGCGACGTTTTTTCGCGTCAGGGTGCGTTTCCTTTAAAGGAGACGCGCACGCGTTTTGGGGGGAACGTGTGGAGCCGCGTCCACGAGTTCCGCAGGGCGGGGTGGACCAACAGCATCTGCTACGTCGACGTGTGGAAGAAGCTGGAAGAAGACCCTCCCCAAAGTTTCTGTTGCTAAATCAGGGAGCCCAATTAACAGTAATTGCTGTCATTGATTTAAGACTGGCTCCCATGGAATTAATGGACCAGAGCACTCCTGTCTTCCACTGCCTCCCGCAGTTTGGTCAAACTCATGCTGGTAGCTTCGAGAACACTGTCCAACCATCTCGTCCTCTGTCGTCCCCTTCTCCTTCCCAACATCAGGGTCTTTTCCAGGGAGTCTTCTCTTCTCATGAGGCGGCCAAAGTATTGGAGCCTCAGCTTCAGGATCTGTCCTTCCAGTGAGCACTCAGGGCTGATTTCCTTCAGAATGGAGAGGTTTAATCTTCTTGCGGTCCATGGGACTCTCAAGAGTCTCCTCCGGCACCATAATTCAAAAGCATCAATTCTTCAGCAATCAGCCTTCTTTATGGTCCAGCTCTCACTTCCATACACCACTACTGGGAAAACCATAGCTTTAAATATATGGACCTTTGTTGGCAAGGTGATGTCTCTGCTTTTTAAGATGCTGTCTAAAGCAATTTATGGACACATAAAGACATCCCCAAATAACCTTGCCCAGCTGTTTCATGTAGATGGAACGGACTGTCCTGTGATCCTTGGATGAAGGGCAGTATAGAAATTTAATAAGTAAATAATAAAACACGTTGAACAAAATAAGAGCCTGACAGTACTCCATATTGTGTCAATTGTGCCATGGAGCAAAGCAAATGTGGAGCATTTAACTCCCATTTCCACTTTAGAGGGTTATCAGAGCATTTGGTATCCAAAGCTGCTAAGTCTGTTGTTATTTTAATTTTGTCTCAAGAGAAGCAATAGTTTTTTAAAAAAATAATATTTATTACGTTTCCAACAATTCAAACACACACAAAAATAAAAAAAAGAACAACACAATACAAAAACACTACACAACACAACACACTAAACTAACAGAACAAAAACAATTTAAAGAAAAACATCAAGCAATTTCCGTATCTTATCTTTCATTCACTTATTTCAGTGACCTCACACCTCCCTTTTTGTATTCCACTTCTGTTAATTGTTTCAGCAATTCCTTTCCATCTTCCTCTGCTTTCTATCTTTTAATTATCTTAACAGATTATAACCTTATTTTTCCCTTTAATGCTCTATTAATCTATTTATACTTAATTCCTTATAACATTTCTACTAAAGCCATATAACTTCATTCTAACATTTTTCTAACATTCATTAATTTTACAGTATTTCTGTAAGTAGTCTTTAAACTTTTTCCAGTCTTCTTCCACCGACTCTTCTCCCTGGTCTCGGATTCTGCCAGTCATCTCCACCAGTTCCATATAGTCCATCACCTTCATCTGCCATTCTTCCCGGGTGGGTAACTCTTGTGTCTTCCAATACTTCGCGATAAGTATTCTTGCTGCTGTTGTTGCATACATAAAAAAAGTTCTATCCTTCTTTGGCACCAATTGGCCGACCATGCCCAGGAGAAAGGCCTCTGGTTTCTTCAAGAAGGTATATTTGAATACCTTTTTCATTTCATTATAAATCATCTCCCAGAATGTCTTAGTCCTTGGGCATGTCCACCAAAGGTGAAAGAATGTACCTTCAGTCTCATTACATTTCCAACATTTATTGTCGGGCAAATGGTAGATTTTTGCAAGCTTGACTGGTGTCATGTACCACCTATAAATCATTTTCATTAAATTTTCTCTTAAGACATTACATGCCGTGAATTTCATACCTGTGGTCCATTACTGTTCCCAGTCAGCCATCATTATGTTATGTCCAACATCTTGTGCCCATTTAATCATAACTGATTTCACCATTTCATCCTGAGTGTTCCATTTCAACAGCAAGTTATACATTCTTGACAAATTCTTGGGTTTTGGATCTAACAATTCTGTTTCCAATTTTGATTTTTCCACCTGGAAGCCAACTTTTTTGTCCAGATTGTATGCCTCCATTATTTGATAATAATGGAGCCAATCTCGCACTCTGTTTTTCAATTTTTCAAAGCTCTGCAATTTTAATCTGTCTCCATCTTGTTCCAAAATTTCCCAATATTTCGGCCATTTGGCCTCCATATTAAGTTTTTTCTGTGCCTTCACTTCCATTGGTGACAACCATCTTGGGGTTTTCTTTTCTAACAAATCCTTATATCTTATCCAGACATTAAACAATGCTTTTCTAACAATATGGTTTTTAAACGCTTTATGTACTTTTACCTTATCGTACCACAAGTATGCATGCCAACCGAATACATTATTAAAACTTTCTAGATCCAACACGTCAGTATTTTCAAGAAGCAGCCATTTTCTCAGCCAGCAAAAAGCAAGTGATTTATAATAAAGTTTAAGGTCTGGCAGGGCAGATCCACCTCTTTCTTTGGCATCAGTTAGTATCTTATATTTTATTCGAGGCTTTTTGCCCTGCCAAACAAATCTAGAAATATCTTTTTGCCACTTCTTGAAACAGTCCATCTTATCCAAGATTTGCAATGTTTGAAACAAAAACAACATCCTTGGCAGCACATTCATTTTTATCACAGCAATTCGGCCTAACAATGATAACTTCAAATTTGTCCATATTTCTAGATCCTTTTTCACTTCAATCCAACATTTTTCATAATTATCCTTAAATAAATTCACATTTTTAGCAGTCATGTTAACCCCTAAATATTTCACTTTCTTAACCAATGTTAGTCCTGTCTCCTCCTGAAACTTCTCTTTCTCATTCACAGTTAAGTTTTTCTCTAACACCTTAGTTTTCATCTTGTTCAACTTAAAACCTGCTACCTGTCCAAATTCTTGAATCAGTTCCAATACCCTTTTAGTACTAGATTCTGGCTCCTGTAAAGTCAAGAGAAGCAATACAGTGGTGCCTCGCAAGATGAAATTAATCCGTTCCGTGAGTCTCTTCGTCTAGCGGTTTTTTCGTCTTGCGAAGCAACCCTATTAGCGGATTAGCGGATTAGTGCTATTAGCGGTTTAGCGGCTATTAAAGGCTTAGCGGCTTAGTGGCTAAAAGGCTATTAGCGGCTTAGCGGCTTAGAAAAAGGGGGGGGAAGCGGGAAAAAACTCAAGACTCGCAAGACATTTTCGTCTTGCGAAGCAAGCCCATAGGGAAATTCGTCCTGCGAAGCGCATCGAAAAACGGAAAACCCTTTCGTCTAGCGGGTTTTTCGTCTTGCGAGGCATTCGTCTTGCGGGGCACCACTGAAGTACAGTGGTACCTAGGGTTACATACGCTTCAGGTTACAGACTCCAGAAATAGTACCTTGGGTTAAGAACTTTGCTTCAGGATGAGAACAGAAATTGTGCTCTGGGGACATGGCAGCAGTGGGAGGCCCTATTAGCTAAAGTGGTGCTTCAGGTTAAGAACAGTTTCAGGTTAAGAATGGACCTCTGGAACAAATTAAGTACTTAACCCGAGGTACCACTGTATTGCATTCCTGCTATTTTCTCCCCCTGGTGTAGGTCCTCTACTAGAATCAACAGTTGTGTTTCAGTCCCAAAGCCAGGCTAAAAGCCAGACTGAAATGGGTACAGACAATCCGTGTAATCCCAGAATGCTTGGAGTTGAGCCAACATAGAAACTGGATAGACTATCTAGCTCCAAAGTTTAATTCGTGTGCCATGAATCTATATAAGCCTTAAAAACAACAACAACCCATGAACAGTCTTGCTGGGTCAGACTAAAAAGGTCATATTAGTCCAGCATTCTGTTTTCAATGCTGGAAAACTGGTATTTCAAAAAAAAAAAAAAAAAGGAGACAAGTGGGGCATGAAAATAGCCTTCCTTCATTTTTTGGCCCTGGTTAACCTATTAGAAGGTATACTGCTTCCATATGAAGAAGAACAAGAGTTTGGATTTGATATCCCGCTTTATCACTACCCAAAGGAGTCTCAAAGCGGCTAACATTCTCCTTTCCCTTCCTCCCCCACAACAAACACTCTGTGAGGGGAGTGGGGCTGAGAGACTTCAAAGAGTTGTGACTGGCCCAAGGTCACCCAGCAGCTGCATGTGGAGGAGCGGGGAATCGAACCCGGTTCACCAGATTACGAGTCCACCGCTCTTAACCACTACACCACACTGACTCTATGTGGAAGTTCCATCTAGTTCTTATAACTAGCAGGTGCAGAAAGTAACAGCTGCCAACATGTGTGCTTTGGAGAAAGTGGTATATAAATGCAATACAATAAATAAATAAAATACAGACACCATTAAACTGGGGACTAGACACATTCATGGAAGACAAGTCTCAATGTCTAGCATTCCTTATGGCTGTGTACTACCTGCAGTATCTGAGACAATATGCTGCCTCTAAGCAGGGGTCAGCAAACTTTTTCAGCAGGGGGCCGGTCCACTGTCCCTCAGACCTTGGGGGGGGGGGGGCGGACTATATTATGAAGAGAAAAAAGAATGAATTTCTGTGCCCCACATATAACCCAGAGCTGCATTTTAAATAAAAGCACACATTCTACTGATGTAAAAACATGCTGATTCCCGGACCGTTCTTGGGCCAGATTTAGAAGGCGATTGGGCCGGATCCGGCCCCTGGGCCTTAGTTTGCCTACCCATGCTCTAAGGACTAGGGAAAGCTAGCAGAGTGTGCCATAGTGCTCATATCCTAACTTGTGGGCTTCCCAAGGGTATCTAATGTGAGAACAGGTTGTGGTCTAGCTGTGACTTTGGCCTCATCTTTCTTTTGTCCATGAATTTGCCTAACCCACTACAGTGGGACCTCGGGTTACATATGCTTCAGGTTACATACGCTTCAGGTTACAGACTCTGCTAACCCAGAAATATTACCTCGGGTTAAGAACTTTGCTTCAGGATGAGAACAGACCTCCAGAACGAATTGAGTTCTTAACCCGAGGTACCACTGTACTTGATTTGTCATATTCCACCATTTAGAAAAGCATGAGTCAGGTCGCCTAGTGGGGCATTTTTCTCTGAGCTCATCCTACAGCTCTCCTGCAATATTTTCAAAGGCCAGCACACATATGCTGGTGACCGCATAGAAGTTTCCCAGAGAAGTGGCACTTCCAGAACCTGCATTGCTACTGGTAAAAGCACTTAAAGGTAAAGGTAAGGGGACCCCTGACCATTAGGTCCAGTCGTGACCGACTCTGGGGTTGCAGCGCTCATCTCTTAACTGGCCGAGGGAGCCGGCATACAGCTTCCAGGTCATGTGGCCAGCATGACTAAGCCGCTTCTGGCGAACCAGAGCAGTGCACGGAAATGCCGTTAACCTGCCCGCCGGAGTGGTACCTATTTATCTACTTGCACTTTGACGTGCTTTCAAACTGCTAGGTTGGCAGGAGCAGGGACCGAGCAACGGGAGCTCACCCCGTCGCAGGGATTTGAACTGCCGACCTTCTGATCGGCAAGTCCTAGGCTCTGTGGTTTAACTCACAGCGCCACTTGCGTCCCAGTGTTACAGTAAAAAGTAAAGGGACCCCTGACCATTAGGTCCAGTTGTGACCGACTCTGGGGTTGCGGTGCTCATCTCGCTTTACTGGCTAAGGGAGGCGGCGTACAACTTCCGGGTCATGTGGCCAGCATGACTAAGCCGCTTCTGGCGAACCAGAGCAGCGCACGGAAACACCATTTACCTTCCCGCCAGAGCGGAACCTATTTATCTACTTGCACTTTGACGTGCTTTCGAACTGCTAGGTCGGCAGGAGCAGGGACTGAGCAACGGGAGCTCACCCCGTCACAGGGATTTGAACCGCTGACCTTCTGATCGGCAAGTCCTAGGCTCTGTGGTATAACCCACAGTGTCTTATGTACACTCTATTATTCATGCACTGCCAGATTCTCACTCTCTTGTGCATTGCACACTGGTGTCTTGCCACTATACATGTTGAAATCAATGCTGCAATCCCCCCTGAGAATGATGGGTGTTTAACCCACAGCGCCACAGAAATAGTACCTCGGGTTAAGAACTTTGCTTCAGGATGAGAACAGTAATCGTGCTCTGGCGGTGCGGCAGCAGCAAGAGAGGCTAAAGTGCTGCTTCAGGTTAAGAACAGTTTCAGGTTAAGAACGGACCTCCGGAACAAATTAAGTACTTAACCCGAGGTACCACTGTACAGTTGTACCTTGGATTACAAACACATCAAACCCCAAAGTGTGTGTCCCAGTTTTTTTTTTGGATTACAACCCATTTTTTTTTATTACGAACAAGTTTTTTGGGGAGGCCCCATTGGCGAAAGCGCGCTTTGGGTTACAACCTGTTTTGGTTTACAAACGGACCTCCAGAACAGATTATGGTTGTAAACCAAGATACCACTGTAAGACAAAACTGTCTTATGCATTTGCTTTTGTAGCTGGAACCAGCATGACTTTTTGCCTTTAGCCTATTAAAATGCTTCCGATGGTTTCTATGCCATTTAAATTTTCTCCAGCCATTTCAGTCACCTGTTTTGCTTGTTTCGAAAGCAGGCAAAGCTGAGACATGCTACTTATAAACCAGCTGAGGTAGGCATTGTTAGATAGACATAGGATTGCTCCCACAGCAGCTGTAAATTCCAGTGACCTCAGTAAAGCATGCATGGGATCAGGTGCCACTTCCTTGGTAAGCAAACAGTATTTGTTGCAATACCCCCTTATGCCCGTACCTTTTACCATTACTTTAAGATGAAGGTGCAACTGCTGAAAAGTCTGGGAGATTTATTTCCTAAGTGGGACAATAATTCCCCCACATCTAACAGAATCTTATTTTGCCCCTTGTGCTATGTGTCTGATGAATGTTAGGATATCACAGAATTAAAACTCTAAGCCTGCTAATCAAACGAGTTTCAGTTTCAGTTGCCTGCACCTATGTACATCTATGAATAAGATGACCCCTATTTTTTTGAACCAAAAATTAAACCAATCCATCTTTCAGTCAAAAAGATTTCCGGTTTTGTACTGCTTGAAAACTCTTTAATGAAGGGAGACAGATTCCATTATCTTGGAAACGAACCAGAATCATAGTCATGGGTAGGCAAACAAAGGCCCGGGGGCTGGATCCGGCCCAATCGCCTTTATCCAGCCTGCGGATGGTCCGGGAATCAGCATGTTTTTAAGTGAGTCGTCTTTTTATTTAAAATGCATCTCTGGGATTTTTGTGGGGCCTGCCTGGTGTTTTTACATGAGTAGAATGTGTGCTTTTATTTAAAATGCATCTCTGGGTGATTTGTGGGGTGTAGGAATTTGTTCATTTTATTTTCTTTCCAAAATAGTCCTGCCCCCCACAAGGTCTGAGGGACAGTGGACTGGCCCCCTGCTGAAAAAGTCTGCTGACCCCTGATATCATAGTGTTACCTCCTGCTGCCGCACTGCTGAGGTGGGGGCCTCTTTCTCGCCCGCCTCATCTCCGGGCCATGGGCTCCCTGCGCTCGCCTCAGCTCCTCTTTCCTGGCCGCCCCGAGCAATTGAGCGACAGACCTACCCCTTTGATCTCCACCTCCTCAACACCAAGTATATTGAGCTTTTTGGGGGCAGATCGGATCACCAAGAGTTACTAAGCTTTTTGTGGGAGATGGGCAGTTCCAGCAGCTTCTTCGCAGCAGCAAAGGGAAGATAATTTGCTTGTGGTTTTTTTAACACCTGTGCATTGAATATAAGATGACCCCCAATTTCGAACTAAAAATGAAGCAAAAAAATTGTCTTATACACAGAAAAGTACAGTAGTTGGTGACGGCTTAATTGTGCTTTGCAGTGTGGGAAGTTGCTTCAAACCTGAAGGTGAGCTATGGATGGCCTTCATGGCAGAAATGAAACTTCTCTTACGGTCAATACTTTAACAAACCTTTAATCATTATTGTTTTATTTGACCCACTGAATACATTACTTGGAATTGTATGTAGGGTCAGATGCCCAAAGCACACTCAATTCTATGAAATGCCAGTGTACACTAATACTGGAGAATGGCTTCTGGATTACTCAGGAGCAAACCTGTATTAAGTGATGCACTGAAGAGGGAAGAAAAAAGGTACACTTGTGAGCTTTACTCCTGTGAAGGGATGTTTCAAAACACCTGTTTAAAATCTCTAGTACATCTGACATCTTATATCTGTAGTAAAAAGGTAAAGGTACCCCTGCCCGACAGGGCCAGTCGTGACCGACTCTAGGGTTGCGCGCTCATCTCGCGCAAGAGGCCGGGAGCTGACGCTGTCCGAAGACACTTCCGGGTCACATGGCCAGCGCGACGAAGCTGCATCTGGCGAGCCAGCACCAGCACCGCAGACAGAAACACCGTTTACCTTCCCGCTATAAAGCGGTCCCTATTTATCTACTTGCACTTTGACGTGCTTTCGAACTGCTAGGTTGATAGGAGCTGGGACCGAAAGACAGGAGCTCACCCCGCCATGGGGATTCGAACCGCCGACCTTACGATCAGCAAGTCCTAGGCACTGAGGTTTTATCCACAGCGCCACCCGCGTCCCGGTATATCTGTAGTAGCAGTGAGCAATACCAGGCTGGGGGGTGTTTGAAACAGAAGACAGCTGCGATTTTTAAAAACACACAGGATTGATCAAATAAGAACATTTTTATTAATAGGGAAGCTGTTTTTCTGCAAGAAGAGACACTGGGCAGAGCAGAAAGCCTAGACAAGCAGTGCATGGAACTTCAGAGTAGCCTTATTCATATAGTAACAGCTACATTAAAAACAACCCATTTCCTTTCAGATAAAGATACTACGCTAAGGTGCAGTTCTGTGTTTTCTCTGCCACAGTAGGCAAGCCCTGCCTCTGCCCAACCCAGGCCCTATTGAAATCCCTTCATTAAAGCAGAAATCTGTTCCCAAAAGGAGGATCCATAATTAAGGGTGGAATATACAGTTCAGGCACCCCATGGGCTTCATCGTGCCACCCTCAAGCTGCGAGACATGGTTTCTAAACCTTTAGAAATCACTGCTGTGCTTACTCCCCCCATTCAATAAGAGCTCCATGAATCCCCAGGATGCACTTGAAAATGTCACTGACCCCGAGGAGCTGTTCCGAAATAAATTTTTGATCAGGTGATAATTTCACTAGTAGGACGCCATCACTAAATTTATACATTCAGGAAATTATGTATAGTATACTGCAAAAACACAGTAAGACATAAATCTGCCCACAGCTGCTCAGGAAGGTCCATTGGCTCCCAAGCTTCGGAACATTGTCCTCTTCCTGCTCCAGTCCATGCGAGACAGGGGAATTATTGCTTTTCTTCCTTCTGATCCCCAGAGCTTGAAGAGCTTCCTGAACTCTCAGAACTCTCCCGCTCAGATGCCATCTGAAGAGGGGGTAAAAAAAGTGTTAGCTCAGCAGGGCACTGACTAACAGGAGGATGTAAGAACAGGGCTCCCTCTTACTTACTTCTTGCTAGAAAGCTGAGCCACAAGAGAGTGTTGACTGGACCAAAAAAATTAATTCTTTACTTTCGCCAAGTGCTCAAATAAATTATGGAAATTTGACATCTCTATCTGCTACTCCGATCAACTGAGCTGAGGAGCCTGCAATCTTCTCCCTTAATCACCAGATCTCAAGACGCAAGCATTCAAAACTTGTAGTACATTTTTTTTCCTTCCGATCACCTCTCATTCCTAAGGTCAGCTATGATCGGCTAGTACTGGCAGTGTCCAGCTTACCCAGATGGTTTTTTACTTGCTAAGACCAAAGCACACACACACTGGAAATTCCAAACCATCTGCCCTTGCCCGCCCAAACAAACAAACAAACAAAAAAATAAAATAAAATATTTATTGTCAATGTACAACTTGTGTACAATGAAATTAACTGAGCCTCCCTCCCCCCATACACTCCAGCACACGGCCCTCCTACCTTTTTATAGGCCATTTCAAAGAGTTTGAGGGATGCCTGCTGTAAGGTGGATGCTGCCTGCCTGATGTTCTCGCCGGTTTCGCTGTCTTTACGAGCTAGCAGTTCTCGCATTTTTGCAATTTCTTCTCTCAGTTTGTTGCACTGTAAAGCAATTGCAGGGAAACACATGTCCGTAACCCTTTCGGCATTTATCAAAGCGGATCTTGACCTCAATAAAGCCACATAGTCTACAGTAATTGGAAGGTGCCATCAGCTGCCAGGGTGGAAGGTATTTTATCGATACCTTCAGCAAGGGGGAAGCCATGGAAAACAATCTGCCTGCCTTTACCCCCGTTAGTTAAAAAATAAAAATAAATCACTTGCCTAATAAGTTTTTGTTCTCCTAGGTCTTGCTGCAGGTGACTGCAGTTTAAAGTCTATTTATTTGATTTCTATCCTACCTTTTCTACAAGGAGCTCAAGGTCACATACATGGTTCTCCCCCACTGGTCCTCACAACGACCCTGTGAGGTAGGTTAGGCTAAGAGACACTGACTGGTGGTCCAGGATCACCCAGTGAGCTTCATGGCCAAGTAGGGATTTGAACCGTGGTCTCCCCGGTCCTAGCCCAACACTCTAACCACTACACGAGCTCTCAGACATGCATAGACTGCCACAAGCATCAAGGTCAGCTCTATATTATATTTAAAAATCAGTTTATTCCATTGAGTTCATGGCTTGCAGGCAAGGCGAAAAGGTAAAATGTACTGAAATTCACAAAAATAATGAAAACGTGTAGATCAGGCTTCCTCAACCTCTGCCATCCAGATGTTTTTGGCCTACAACTCCCATGATCCCTAGCTAGTAGGACCAGTGGTCAGGGATGATGGGAATTGTAGTCTCAAAACATTTGGAGGGCCAAGGTTGAGGAAGCCTGGTGTAGATGCTGCTGTTGTGATCAGCTTCCCTCCCCACTGGTCTCCTAGAACCAGAAGAAGAATGAAGAGGGCAGGGCAGAGACAGGCACATTGGCATAGTCTCAGATTGCTTGGGAAGGACTTGGGAGAGACAGCAGCTTTGGGAAAGGTGGGGAACCTTAAGTCCTCACAACCGCCTCATTGGGGCAAGATCTATCAGGACAAGTTGCTATGCTCACTATACCTGGCTCCTGAGTCGACCTAGTTTCCCTGAATAAAGAGTTAAGTTCATGGACGCCATGTGATTTATTGCTAATTTGCTCCCGACATCCTGAAATGTTGTCATGAATGATTACAGCGTAAACCATGAACATCGCTGCATAGCTGCCTCACCTTCACTGGCAAAGCAGCAGAAAAATCAGTAGGTGGGAGAAGCAACCAGGGACTGTAATGTTTGCTTTGCACAAGACCAACCACACAAAATCAAATTTTGTTACTCTAATGGATTGATCATAAATTTAGCATCATCACTAGTTATTAAGAGAACAGAACAGCATTTGATTCTCATAAGAGTTCCCTTCCCCCAAGTTGACTTGGCCCCTTCATGGCTTTTCCAGCAACCTTTCTCACACAGGGGATACTACCCCAATATAACAAAAGCTTACAAGATTTTCTCTTTTTAATTTCTTGGGAGAAGTCTGCATTTATTATCTCTGCCAAAAGCTTTCTGGAATTAAAATTAAAGATCATGAATTGTTTTAAAAGCCTTTTCTCATTATCGTAGGCTGCTTAGTTTCTCCGGTGATAAATTAGCACAGCCAGGAAATTGCTGTATGAAGGATTATACAATTTAGAGAGCATTAGTTTTGCACATTCTGACAAAAAGAGGAAGCAAATTCAGTACATGCCCAGGCAGCGTGTCAAATCCATACACAATTAATTTTAGACTGAGACAAAAGAAAACAATTCGTTTACCGCAAGGCAGAACACCTACCTCATCAGCAGGTAGCTGATCTTTGAACTCTTCCATTTTGGATTCTGTATCATGGATTATTCCTTCTGCCATGTTTACAGCTTCAACACGTTCCTGAATAAAACAACAACTTTGGTGAAATACCCCATTTGTGCCCCTAACACTCACATATCAATGAGGATCATGAAGCTGACACAGAATTAGGCATCTAAATATATTTCACCCAAATGTAACTCTTCGGATACGCATTCATTCATTGTTCTGTAAGCAAAAATGCTCCAATTCTATCAACTCAAGGATTTTGAAAAGTGAGTGTAGCATCTATTTTAGTTTGAGGACCTAGACATCTGCTCCAAAGTTCTCCAAAGACATAACTGCATTGGGAATCAATATTTCAGTCTAAAGTCATCACTGCAAACTTACCTTTCTTCGCCTGTCTTCTTCTGCATATTTTTCTGCATTCTTCACCATATTCTCAATATCATCTTTGCTAAGACCACCAGAAGACTGGATCACAACTACAGAAATATGAAACGGTATTTTGTTTACAGAATGCTATCTGAAACCAAAGCAACACATGCCTAGTAGGCATACAAGACCAATCCCGTAGACCACAACAATTATATCTGCCTGACCCTCACTGTAACATTATGACGTCTAGCATTTACACCCCACATTTGTATAAAAATTGCCAAAACTGACTTTCTGCAATCCCTATCTTCAATTAGTTTGTTCTCTTGCTTTTTAAAGAGCTATAGGCCTTCTATATTATTTGACATTTTCTACTATCTGATGTAGTACTGTCATTTCTAAGAACAAGAGTGCTTATGTAACAGATCTCAAAGCCAGGAGAAACAAGCTTCTCAGTTGTGTTGTGCTCAGTTAGAAATCTTCCACACGGGTTTTCAGAATGATGTGTTGATAATAGCATCACTGCACACACTTGATTGGTTCTGGCCATGAGCAAAGCTCAGAGATCTTATCAAAAGCTTCCAGAAAAGAAATTAAGCTCAGGTGGGAACTGCAAACTAAACAATGGCCACGTTTTATAGCTTGACAGAAGTTGCACACTAGTGTCTCCTTTCTTCTCTTTTTCCTTCCTTCCCATGATATCACGATAGTCCTTTACTGTGCCTGACTGCCATAACAATTTCATCTGTTCACATTCCCTCTCCCCTCCAAAGAAGCAACTATCTAGCACACTTACTCTGTTGCTCCCGTCCTGTGCCTTTATCTTTTGCAGAAACATGAACAATTCCATTGGCATCAATGTCAAAAGTGACCTCTATCTGGGGGACTCCCCGTGGAGCTGGCGGAATCCCAACCTAAAATCACAAGGTACATTGTTGATAACCAAGAGGGAACAATAACTAATAAGCTTTGCGCCTCCTTATTAATTATGCAATAAATAGTAAGCATTTGAGATCAATTGCTGATTCTACTTGCTACTCAGTGAAGCAATCTAACACTGAAGTAGTACTGTACAATCTAATATTGATCCCTGATCAGATGTCAAACGGATGAACAACTATTTGACTTTTAGAAGATATCTGAAGGCAGCCCTGTTCAGGGAAGTTTTTAATGTTTTATTGTGTTTTTAATATTTTGTTGGGAGCTGCCCAGAGTGGCTGGGACAACCCAGTTGGAGAGATGGCATATAAATAACAAGATGATGATTTCCACAACTCCTTGTAGTTGGCATCCATCTGCCTTGGAAGACAACGCAAGAGTGCACCTTTGGTAGTAAAGTCAAAATGCTGGTGCGTTACAGCGCCTGCTGTGTCTGTAGAGACTAGTACGGGAAAAACATATTTTATTGCAGGTGGGGTAGATGAAGGCATCTGGTTTTGCTGAAAACCCACTTGCAGGTTAATGCTTATTTGAAGGAGGATTTTCACTCAATGAGCACATGCTTTGCATGCAAAAGGTTCAAGGTTCAATTTCTGGCATCTGTACGCAGTGGAAAGACGTCTAAGAGTTGCAGCCAGTATAAATAGTACTTAGCTGGATGAGCAAACACAGTTCCCTGTGTTCTTATGCCACTTTTCTATGCTATGACTACACACTTACACCCATTCATAGAAATTTAGAGAACTACCCAACGTCAATCAAACTCTTATTTCAAACACACTTTCAGTGGGTCTACCCTGGCTATGACTTAGTACAGCAAGTCCTGTACAGAAAATCTGCACGTGACAATGGCAAAATTAATGCCATTCATTTTTTCCAAGTATTGTTAAAAGGAAAAAATAATGAACTCTTCTACATGTTCTGGGGGTTTTTTTTTGCCGCAGAAAAGGTTTGTTCCTATGCAACAATGTCTTTCGACCCTAGTGGGCAGAATGAAACTACTTCCTATAATTTTCATACCATAACGGCAGATGAAAACAAACTTACCAAAGTAAATTGGCCAAGCAGCTTATTGTCACCAGCCATTTCTCTCTCACCCTGATGCACTTTGATCTCCACCTGAGTCTGTCCGTCAGCAGCTGTAGAGAACACCTGTCAAAATGAAACACATTTGGTATCAGCAGGGTTACACAGCCGTGTTGTGTAACTAAAAGTAGCAGCTGAAGGGAAAGCCAAAAGAATAGAAGGTAGCCAAACCAATAAGAGACAATGTAATTTCTTCCAAGCAGTACTACAACTATCACAGCCTCTAACTTATTAGCTACTGGAAAGCATAATATGTACTAGCAAATGACTGAAGTTCTGGGAGAAAGTATCTTATGCCTTAGAGTTGTAAGACAAAGCGGTGCTCCCAATGGATCTCCTACTCCCCCCACCCTTCCCAGCAACCTGTCTCCATAGCGATTGTTAGGTTCTCTGGCACAGCTCAGTTGGTAGAGCAGGAGACAATCTCAGGGTTGTGGGTTTGAGCCCCATATTGGGCAAAAGGATCTTGCATTTCAGGGGGTTGGACTAGATGGTCCCTACCAACTCTACAATTCTATGGTTCTTACATAACTGGGCAGCATACAACAGTTACATCCTTAAAAATCATAGCCATTGCCATAGTGGATGAACAGCTTAGTCCTGCGCGGCCTGCAAATTACGAAAATCTCCAGTCTTTTTCTATACCGTCTAAACCTTTGAGCACAAACAGCAAGAGAATGATGACCTCGCAACAGAACAAGAGGAATAGGAAGGAATGCTTTAGCGGCAGGGACATAGCATAAACCATAGAAGGGTACGAAGAACACACAGTACCATTTCACATAAAGCAATACGCAGAACACGGTCTCCCATGCACATGCACACTCTCCTACCTGGCTCTTCTTGGTTGGAATAGTCGTGTTCCTGTTGATGAGCTTAGTGAAAACTCCCCCTAGCGTCTCAATACCAAGGGAAAGAGGAGTCACATCCAGCAGCAGCACATCAGTGACATCACCAGCCAGTACGCCTCCCTGGATGGCAGCACCAATAGCAACAGCTTCATCGGGATTAACTGCTTTGCTAGGAGCGCGGCCAAACAAGTCCTGGACAGTCTGCTGTACCTGAATGGATACATAAGACATGCATGCCTGTTAGGTTTTCTTTGGGGGGGGGGCAGGGGTTTAGAAATGGCAAAAAATCCCACTGAATCTGCAGGTTCCTCTACAGTAGACACATTCTCAGTTTCCCTCTAATTCTAGTAACAACATGCAGCCCAGTCTGAATAAAGAACCGAAGCTTTGAGATTTATATACAGTGGTACCTCGGGTTAAGTACTTAATTCGTTCCACAGGTCCGTTCTTAACCTGAAACTGTTCTTACCCTGAAGCACCACTTTAGCTAAGGGGGCCTCCTACCGCTGCTCCGCCAAGGAGCACGATTTCTGTTCTCATCCTGAAGCAAAGTTCTTAACCTGAAGCATTATTTCTGGGTTAGTGGAGTCTGTAACCTGATGCGTATGTAACCCGAGGTACCACTGTACATCACTGCACAGATCTGCAGAAAACCACCACCATTATCTTACAGGAGACAAATACAGCCTTCTCATATGCCAAGAGAAATAAAATTATAAAATGCTTGCCTTTTGGACCCACAGCATTCTCTTATATAACGATCAGCCCTATTCAGTTATCCCCTCCCATCCTCCAGACGATGGACTTGCCCCAGCCTCCCGGCCATCCTCCGTAAGTTGGAGGGCTATCATCTCTAGAAGGCAGCCTACAAGAACAGAACAGGCTCCCCACTGCACACAGTCACCCTCCAACATGTGAAGGATGAACTGGGAATATGATAGGAGATGCGGGCTGAGTGCGTTCATCCACCCTCTATGTGATTAACATAGGACAGAACACAAGACTTGGATAGGGCCAAGTGCTGTGCCTTCACACGACAGATACCGTATTTTTCACTCTATAGGACGCATTTCCCCCCCTCCAAAAATGAAGGGGAAATGTGTGTGCGTCCTATGGAGCGAATGCAGGCTTTCGCTGAAGCCTGGAGAGCGAGAGGGGTCGGTGCGCACTGACCCCTCTCGCTCTCCAGCCTTCAGGCAGCTATCCGCACGCCTTCGGATAGCCTTCGAAGGCTTGTGGATAGCAGCCTGAAGCCCGGGGAGCGCAGCGCCAACTCCCGCTGCGCACCCCGGGCTTCAGGCAGCTATCCGCAAGCCTTCGGAGCCCGGCGGGAGTTTCCGCTCCCGTTCTGAGGGCTGGGGTCGGGGGAAGCTCGGGCTTCCCCCGCCCCAGCCCCGCAGCTAAAAACGAAGCCAAGACAGCGAGCAGGATCCATCCTGCTCGCTGTCTTGGCTTCTGCCAAAGCCACGCGCAGCCTCTCCCAGAGGCCTCTCCTTTATCCCCCCCCCCCTCAAAACGAGGTGCGCCCTATGGTCCGTTGTACCCTATGGAGCGAAAAATACGGTATATGACATTTGTCCACAAACAAAAGGCACAGCAGCAAAACAACAGAATAATCTGAAAACAGGAGGACAGAGGCTTGAAAGGAGGCCCCTCCCATGCAATGACACCACTGTTCTTCTCCTGACCCTTCAGTGCCTCAGTGAGGGCTTTTCAGAGCCTTCAGCCATCATGCATAAGCCTCTGGGCACACGTTGCCTCATTTATAACTTAAGAGAGATACGCTGGTGAGCTTGGAAGGAAGCCCAAAAGCAAAGACCTCAAAAAACACAAGCAATTCCCCCTGCAAAACAGACTTTAAATTCAAGCTACCAAGGTTTTAGCCACAGTTAAACTTTAACAGGCAAAGTCACGAGTGGCACAGGCAGCAGAAAGGTAATGTTAATTTCATGCCAACACCATCTGCTGAGTTGCTACTCACTCCAGTCACTCTTGCTGTCTTAAGAGTTAAGCAAGGTCCAAAGGGCACAACTGATGATATGGGGGCCCAAGTATATTAAGTCACAGGAAATCTATTATACCTTAGGCATCCTGGTCATGCCACCAACTAATATAACTTCACCAATGTCGCTCTTGCTGACTTCAGCGTCCTGCATGGCTTTCTGGCAAGGTGCTATTGTCCTTCTGATCAGATCGGCCACAATCCCCTCAAACTGAGAACGAGTCAGCTTCATATTCAAATGCTTTGGTCCTGAAGCATCCATTGTAAGATATGGCAAGTTAATGTCTGTCTGCAATGCAAAGAAAGATCAGCCATCAGAGATAAATAAAAAACAAACAAACAGCACCCTTTCTGATCTGACTCTTTCCTCAAGTCTGTAACCAAATTGTTGTTCGTATTTATTCCATCCAGATGAAGAATAAAGGACTTCTTTCAAACCAAATTTTTAACACACCAACTCAAAATGTACAGTAATTGTTTAGGTTAAAACAAATCCTCCTTTGTTGTTACAGAGAAGATCTCTGGCCAAAAAGCAATGCTTGATTGCAAAGCTTGAATAAAAAATGTACTTGTCACACAGTTAAGAACACTAGAACAAACTATAGCTCACTACATGAGCTACAGTTATAGGATATGGCACTTATGTATTACTTTGGCCAGAAAGAAAAGCTATTTATTTTTTCTCAGTAATAACTAATTCCCTCGGAGCACTGAAAAAGGCAAACCCATCAGTCACCAACATCTGGGGGTTCTCCAGTCATTGTACTGTACATGATTAGTAGTTTACGCATCTGGTTAGGCTCTAGGGATTTCCCCCAAAGCAACACTTCCATTAGTGTATTATCACATTTATCCAGGACTGCAATACTTCCGCTACTGGGAAATACTCCCCACCCCTTGGTAGTGCTTTTGCTTGGAGTGAAATAATTCATTTACTCACCTGGACTGAGGAAGAGAGTTCACACTTTGCTTTTTCTGCAGCTTCCCTCACCCTCTGTAGAGCCATGTTATCTTTAGTTAGATCAACACCTGTCTGGAAAAAGACAAACAACATGTTCATAGTATTATACTGTGAGATAGAACAGCATTACAAAACCCACATTCTCTTTCATGTTCAATATTTGAAGTGGCTCTTCAAAATCACATGTGCTTTATAGAACTGACAGTACTAATGGCACATGTTACTACATAAACAGCACAGTACAGTACAGTCATACCTTGAATGTCCAACAGAATACGTTCCAGAAGCTCATTCAACCTCCAAAATGTCCGGAAACCAAAGCACGGCTTCTGATTGGCTGCAGAAAGCTCCTGCAGCCAATCAGAAGCCCCGTCGGGATGTTTGGGTTCCTAAGAACGTTCACAAACCAGAAAACTCACTTCCAGGTTTGTGGCATTCGGGAGACAAAAGGTACAACTGTACTACCAACAACTTAAAAGGCTTTGCAGTATATGTGATGTAACACACCAGAGATTTACCTGACTTGAGCCAATTTACTAATTTTCATTGAGTTAATGGATCTTTAAACAGCAAGGCTGGGAATTCGCTTTCCTTCATTCCAGCTTTTTAAACTCCAGCTACTAATACTAGACTAGCTACATCTTGGTACACAAATGCCCTCTCTGTTGCCAAGCGATCATTTCCAGTCCCAGTTATGTTTTGCGTCTCAAGTACGCATCAGTCCTGCCCGAGCTACGTTTAAGGGAGAAAAGGTAAACCTTCCACTGCCACAAAATGCATGCCAAACGGTATTGGATGCTAACTAAATCTGGCAGCGCTGAATTGCCTATTAATGTCAACATTATATAATCCACTCATTAAAACATCCAGCGAGCACCCAAGCCTTTTCTACATAGAACCATCAATTTACTTCAATGAATTTGGATGGGCTGTTCACTAAACTTTATCTGACACGACTAACAAAAGGAGACTGACAGTTAACCAAATTTTAGTTGCATCCGTAAAGAAAGGCACTGCACTGAAACTGTGTGCTCTGGGGGAGGCTTTTTCTTCTACATCCATTCCAGCCTCAAACAGCCGTGCAAGGATGGAAAGTATAGCTGCCATCATGTGGCATGGAGATCCATGGCTCATGACCATGCAGGCAACGTGTGTCAGGGAGCAATAGCCAAACACAGCACTACAGCACACAAATACCTTGTGCCCCCCTTGCTGCAAGTATTCAGATACATGTCTCCCCCAGCTTCATACTTTTTGTGAGGGAAATGCAGCAAACATGCCCACCACTGTAAAATGTGTGCTGGCCTTCAGAGAGTTAGGTAAAGGTAAAGGGACCCCTGACTGTTAGGTCCAGTCGTGGACGACTCGGGGTTCCGGCGCTCATCTCACTTTACTGGCCAAGCATGACTAAGCCACTTCTGGCAAACCAGAGCAGCGCATGGAAATGCAGTTTACCTTCCCGCTGGAGTGGTACCTATTTATCTACTTGCACTCTGACGTGCTTTCGAACTGCTAGGTTGGCAGGAGCAGGGACCGAGCAACGGGAGCTCACCCCGTCACGGGGATTCGAACCGCCAACCTTCTGAGTGGCAAGCCCTAAACCACAGAGCCACCCGCATCCCTCCACGGTGCCACCGAGTTAAAATGCACTAAACACACACATCACATGCCTCCCCCCTGCTTATGTTCAAGAGGTGAAGACGTGTTTAAAAGCGAACTACAAGAGGATTTCAATAAGGCCAGTGGTAAAGGAGCAGAGAGTGAACAGCTTTATTGTCTTGGAAACCAGTGTGGCTCTTCTAATAAAGTTAGTCAGATCCATGCAGGTCTCCCTTTTTTAAGGTTAAATGAACACTTGAAAAAGCTCTCTGGTGGTTCCTTCATCTCCAGACCATGAAATACAAGCGACTTACCTCTCTCTTGAAGTCTTTCACAATATGCTGCAACAAGGCCTGGTCAAAATCTTCACCGCCCAAGAAAGTGTCACCATTGGTGGATTTGACCTCAAAGACTCCCTTCTGAATTTCCAAGACAGAAATATCAAATGTGCCACCACCCAAGTCGTAGACTGCAATACTAAAGGGGGCGGGAGGGGCAAATTGATTAGCACCTTCAGTCGTGGGGGAACACCAGTTTCCTCTTTTTAATCGAAGACTAACATGTTAAAGGAGTGAGATTGTTGCAAGTTGCTTCGTTTAATTACTTGGAATCTTAAGATTTCAGAGGATGTCCAATTTTTGCCACACTATTTAATTTTAATCCGACAAACAACTTGTTGAAACAGAAGCAGCTGCTTATGAAGGCAGGTATCAGGAATTAATGCGTTTATTTCCTTCTTGGCATGAAGGTCACTGTACTCTGTGTAGTTGCATGGAAGAGAGAATGCCACCAATTTCAGAGGTTGCCCTGCATCTCTCCTTACAGGAATATAATATTTTGCTATCTGAGCACAGAGGACTACATATGAAGGTATGCTTGAAAGTCTTTCAGTTCCATTGTTTGCCAAAAAACTGGAGGAAGCCGCCCAGAAGCTGGCAATTCATTTATCTGACCTAAGAAACATGAAAGCGATGAAGTTCAAGTTTTCAGAAGTTTTATATACTTACACTTTGTCTTCAGACTTATCCAAGCCATAAGCTAGTGCTGCAGCTGTTGGCTCATTTATCACCCTCAAAACATTCAATCCCGCAATCTGCCCGGCATCTTTAGTAGCCTTGGAAGAAAATAATGGCGTGTTAAAGCATTGCTTGATTACAAAAAAAGGCCAGTGTTTCCTCTGCAAAAAAAGCTTTTGAGAGAATTCTTGTAAAGCAACTATAAAGGGGAAGTGCTATAATTCAGTGGCTAGAGCATCTCCTTTGCATGCAGATTCCATATCCAGCCCCAAGCTTCACTTAGTAGGACTGAGACTGCCCCTTTTCTGAAATCCTGGAAGCTGCTGCCAAGTCAGTGTAGACAATACTTAATTAGATGGCCCAAGGGTCTGATTCAATATAAAACAGCTTCCTAGGTTCTTAATGGAGTCACATGCATTTTGGACTTCAGGCATTAACATATCCATGGAGAAATATATATGGAAAAGTATTCATGTATACTACTGCAGCAGAAGACAAGATATTGGAAACAGCCACACAGATGAAGCAAATTCAGATTTCAGCAACCTTACCTGCCTCTGAGAATCATTGAAATAAGCAGGGACCGTGATGACAGCATTTTTTGCCGGATGCCCCAGGTAATTTTCTAGTAAGTAAAAAGCATCATTTTAAATTGGTTCATATACAGACATGTCAAAGCAGAGGTTCCAATCTGGATGGCTTCCAGCTAATGAAATGATTTAGACTCTATGAAAGTTTGGGAGTGGGTTTGCTTTTTAAACTATTTGTATTTTGACCTTCCTCCAATGAGTTCAGGGTGGCATACAAGAAACAGTCCCATTTCCTCCTCACAACCACCCTCAGGGTAGGTTACACAGAGTTTCTGACCGGGCTCCTAATATTTGGGTTAAATTTGAATCCGGGTCCCTTTGGTTACAATCTGACACACTATCAAATCACCTACAGTAACTCTGTTAAGTAGAGATAAAACATGGAATATTTTCCTGTGTGTTATCCCTTTCCTACTCTGGATGTATTTGATGCTTGATGTTTTACTATGTTTTATATACAGTGGTACCTCGGGTTAAGAACTTAATTTGTTCTGCAGGTCTGTTCTTAACCTGAAACTGTTCTTAACCTGAGGTACCACTTTAGCTAATGGGGCCTCCTGCCGCCGTGCGATTTCTGTTCTCACCCTGAAGCACAGTTCTTAACCTGAGGTACTATTTCTGGGTTAACAGTCTGTAACCTGAAGCAGCTGTAACCAGAGGTACCACTGTATGCTGTAAGCCACACAAAGTGGCTGGGAAAGACTATGCATGACTGCAAAATACAGGTTTATGAAGTGCATACTATTTCCCCCCCATTGCCTTTCTCCTCTTTCTTTTATAATCCTTAATAAAATTAATTCATTTGAACCCGGGTCTTGACGGGATTCTCTACCACCAAAGGGAGAGAGCTCCTTCCATGCTGCTCACAGTGCTTAAGTCAATCAAGCAAAATGCTTCAAATTAAGAGGGCAAGATGAGCTGGTGCTGGACCAGTGTGCACTGTGGAAATTTAGCCGGGAAACCCCCTACAATCTGGTAGATAATCCACGGGTCATGGGCACCTCGTTGGTGTGGGGATGCTGGGTCCCTCTACTTCCCACACTCCCAGCTCAGATGCTTTACAGTACAAACCTGCTGTCTCCTTCATCTTCATCAATATGAAGGCACCAATCTGGCTTGGGGAATACAGCTTTCCATGAGCTTCTACCCAGGCATCACCATTAGAAGCACGGACAATTTTAAAAGGAACGTTTTTGCTGGAAGCACAAGTATTTTTAAAAGGTTACAGAGCCTGTGTCAACTAATCAATCACGCATCATCACCATCACTCCACCGGCATTGTTCTTTAATGAAGCAACAAAGCAGGCAAAAGGACAACTTTAAAAGAACGAATATTGCATTTCTATAAAACCATCTCTAGACTATTATATGACAGAGACCCTCTAGTCCAAAGTCCAATCTTGGTCAGGAAAACTGGCCAGTGAAGGCCACTTTATTTCAATTGTTTTATTCCGATCATCCACAACTACATTTGGAGCTTACAAAGCTCCACAAGTGCAAATATGTTTAGGTTTGCAGCACGGTTTGCATTAATAGAAAAGATAACTTCCTTACATATCCTTCTGCACTTCCGAATCATCGTATCGCCGCCCAATTAGTCGTTTTGTTGCATAGAATGTATTGGGGGGATTCGTGACGGCCTGTCTTTTAGCTGGCATGCCAACCAATCTCTCCCCATCGCTTGTAAAGGCTACAACAGAAGGGGTTGTCCTGGCACCTTCTGCGTTTTCCAGCACCTATGCAAGATAAAAGAATATGCAACAGTGACTGTAGTTGAAGCAGCAGAAACTGGGTTTTTCTATTTTATCGTCAGGAAGGATTGGTTTTTATTTAAGACTATAAATTCCTTTGTGGAAGAGGTTCCTCAAAAATTGGGGTGTACATTTTAAAATAAACCATGAAGTGGATAAGCAGTTATTTTGAACTCACTTTCGCTTGCTTCCCTTCCATGACTGCCACACAAGAGTTGGTCGTGCCGAGATCAATGCCAATGACAGCACCTTTGATTGCTTCTGATCTGAAAAGATAAATTTAAATGTATTTTAAGCAAGAAAATGTCTACCTTCCATCGTACCATAAAAGCAGCAAGTCTACTACTGTTCTTCCAGCTGTATCATAGTTAGACTAGTGACTGCATTATAAGCAGTACAACAAAAAGATCAAGGCCATACTTTATTTTGTCCCTAATCTATGCCAAGCACACACTTCAGCATATTTAACAAGCACACATATTTAACTACACTTTAACTGATTCCAGCTTTTCAAAGGCAAAGTTATGGTTTTGGCCATCACTACTCAGAAAAACAGAATAACTTTATAATGGGGACTTCCTATGACCCTTTCCACTACTGCTGTTTCACACAGCAGTATGCTGAGAGACAACTGGTAAGGCACTTGTCCTCCCTCATCACTAGCCAGAGAAAATTCTGGATTGACCCAGGTTGCTTACAGCAGTGCCCTGCACCCTAACAGCACAACCTCGCCTTTGCTCCCGGAGTTTGCAGGGCTGGGGGCGGGGGAAGCCCGAATTTCCCCCGACCCCAGCCCACAGAACGGGTCCGGGAGCGGTGGCAAGGTTGCGAAGCCTTTGGAGCGCAGCGCAAGTTCCCGCTGCGCTCCAAAGGCTTCAGGGATAGCCGCCTGAAGCCTTTGGAACGCAGCGCGACCTTGCGCTGCGCTCCAAAGGCTTTGGGTTCCTTTCGCTGAAGCCGGGAGAGCCTTGCCCTGAAGCGTGGAGAGTGAGAGGGGTCGGTGCTCACGACCCCTCTCGCTCTCCATTTGCTCCATAGGATGCACACACATTTCCCCTTCATTTCTGGAGGTGAAAAAGTGCATCCTATAGAGTGAAAAATATGGTAATTCCCCCCTTGAAATCCCTTGGCGCTGGGATCCATCCTCCTGCGTTTTGTAGATGGTAATATATTTAAAGAAGAATTATGGAAGACACTAGGATTTAAGTCTTTTCTCCAACCAGAATCCATGCCCAAGCAAACCGCTAAATTTTCATGTCAGTATTAACAGATTTCAGAAAACGGGTTATCTACACAAACTGAAATTCTCAGATTTTTATTTTTTCTTGAGAGCGAGACTGCATTTCCCAACAATTACCTTTTTTTACCAAAAAGAAAACAGTACGAAGGTTAATACTTGTTTGGCATACGTGCCCCCAACTTATGAGCCAGTCTCACCAGAAATTTCCAGTTCTGTCACCCGCCATTTCTTTTTAGTGATTGTCTTTCTTCCCTCTACTTTTGGAGAAAGAGCTCTCAAGAAATGTTTGGTCTTCACACCACCCATGGGTTCTTGATAGGACTATAGCTTTTCCAAAAGCAAAAGCTTTGAATGCCTACAATCTGAGGAACGAATTGACATCTTTGTGATGCTCCTTTTAATACTGAAGTAAAAATTTGCTTTTGCACTTTCAGTTCACATTGCCATTTCAACAAGACAAATAATGCTAGCTTGTTCAGCTATGTTACTTACGCATATTGCCGGCTTGTTACAGATCTGAGGATGTCTTGACTTACGCCATTCCAGAAAACCTAAAAAACAAATGAAGCTAATGAGATATATTCATAAACAGCTACTATATGTCAATGAAAATGAACCACCTTCTGCCACCACTGTTAATGCTCTTAAAACTCAAAAACATGTCTTCCTATGATAAGACTGTACCAGTTAAAAGATTGATGATGGCTTCTACTTGGAAAACCTCCTGATTTCTGTAGTTTTTATTGCCCTACCTGCTACATCCAGTTTACATTCCGATCCTATGCATGTTAACTAAGAAGTCCCACTGAGCTAGATGGAACTTACTCCTAAATAAGCCCACACAGAAATTCAGCCTCATGAGCTATATCAAACACACCTGAGCAAGCTTGCTTTCCAGGGGCAATTCCTTACTAAGGTGTAATCTCAAGCATACTGCTTTTCAGTTCCCAAGCATCTCTCACCTTACCAATTACTACTTCAACAGAAGCCAGTTTAGTCATGATATATGCAGGTCCCAATCATTCTAAGCCACCAAGGCGAATTCTGCTGCTCCCCACGTTCTGAAAAAACTTGATTTTTAACATACCCTTTCAGATTCTTATCTACCGTGCTAAATAATCACTGCACCTACTAACTAAAGCATGGGTAGGCAAACTAAGGCCCGGGGGCCGGATCTGGGCCAATCGCCTTCTAAATCAGGCCTGTCGACGGTCTGGGAATCAACGTGTTTTTACATGAGTAGAACATGTCCTTTTATTTAAAATGCATCTCTGTGTTATTTGTGAGGCCTGCCTGGTGTTTTTACACGAGTAGAATGTATGCTTTTATTTCAAATGCATGTCTGGGTTATTTGTGGGGCATAGGGATTGGTTCATATTTTTTCCCCAAAATATAGTCCAGCCCTCCACAAGGTCTGAGGGACAGTGGACCAGCCCCCTGCTGGAAAACAAGTTTGCTGACCCCTGAACTAAAGGGCAGAAAGCTCAGAAAGCAAGGGGGCAGCTGTACTATTCCCTTTTTTAAAAAAAAAAAAGTTCCAAAATCCAGCCTTGCAGCAATACATTTTATTAGGCCAACCAAAAAGAAACAGTGCATAATCGTTACATAAATTATTCGGCGCGTTACATAAATTATTTAACGGAGATCCTCCCCGCCCCCCACCCCACCCGCTTTAACACACGTGCGCTCCTCACTGGATGCTTGAACCCCTCAGGCCCTCGAGTCGGGCAAGGATCTGACACCCAGCGGCAAAAAAACCCTCATTTTTTTTACACCCCCCCTCACACGAGCAAAAAAATAATAATTAAAAAAATCAGCAAAAAGCCGGTCAGATTTCACGAAGCACGTGTCTGCCTTGACACACGTGTCCTGCGCGACACACGTGAGCCGCGGAAAGGTCGTGGGAACTAGCGGGTTTTGAGGCAGCGCGGTTCCGAGCTCCAACCCCACCCCCCAACCCGGCTGAAGGGCACGGAAGGGGGCCCTTCTTTTCTGAGGGGGCTCCCGACGCCCTTGCCCTCCCCCTCTTCGCTCGTCCGTCCGTCGCGCCTTCTCCCTCTCCGCCCAGGGCGCCTCACCTGAGCAGGCCCTGCGGCGGCCCCTCCGCGGCGCAGAACCAGCAAGCGGGCGGCAGTCAACATGGTGGCGGCGGCGGCGGCGGCGGAGGCCTGAGGAGGAGCGGAGAGAGCTGCGCGCGGCCGCTGCGGGTGCTTTCTCGAAGCCTCTGGCCCACGTGAGGGAGGCGAGGGGGCGTGGTCCAAGCGCTCGCGTGCGTCGTGCGAGGGAGTGGGGTCCTCCGCCTTCCCGCGGCCGTCTTAGCAAAACGCCGGGGGAGAAACGCCCGTGTCGGGAAAACACACACGCATACACGTGCCTCAGTATGGCTTTGAAACGCACCAGTTTCTTTTTGTAAGGTGTTTTCTTTGTTTTGCTTTTAATTATCCCTCAAGGAACGCATCGAGAAAAGTGCCGCATCAGGCACTTTCCTAAGGCAGCTTTGTGGATGGGTCCTTGTGGGGCGGCAGCCGCCGCGCAAAGCCTCAAGGTCAAAGATTGCTTGGTTGACGCACGACGGAGGGGGGAGGCGGGACCGGAAGCCGGTTTTTTCGCAGGCGCAGGGGAATGAGGGCGGGGGGAGTTTGCGCGGGGATTTCTCGGCGCGCGTGCGCAGTTCGCAAGCGCCTGACGAAACGGGCTGCAATGCTACGCGCCCGGATGGACGCAATGGGATGTATTAAATGCGCAAAGTTAGGACTGGTTTGCGAGAATTCGCCTCTGCGAGGTCGAGAGCAGAGGAAGTGATGAAATTCTCCACAGGGTGGCCATGGCTGTTTAAAATTTGTAGCCCCCAAAAGTCCCTTTTAAAAGTACATTTGACGAACCAGTGTCGGTTTTACGTATAAGCTAAACAAGCTAAAGCTTAGGACCCCACTCTCTTGCCCTCCCCCCAAATATACATACATACATATATATATATATATATAAAAATTTTACTGACATATAAAACACATACATATACATTTACACAATATGCATACACAACACACTACCTTATTTTCATAACATAAAACATAC